TTATCGGGTATGTAGCCCATTGCCTTCACTTATCTGTCCTCAATGGTTAAATTTTTCTAAGCCCTCTTTCCTCATTGTGTCCAAGAAACTTCAACTATTTCATCGTGTTCTTTTTGTGGCATTTTTTTTTTTCTAAAACTTCGTTACTTACTCGACCTGCCCATGGAACTGTTGCGATGTTTCTGTAAAATCGCATCTTCAGATTCGACGTCTACTTCCGGTACCAATGGTAAATATTTATTTTTAATTGCTTTCCTCTTCCGGTCTCCCTTGCTAAATGTTTTACTTGCACACACCTCGGTCATTGCTCAATAGAATATCTTTGAACATCAAATTGAACCTATTTACAAACAATAAATTAAGACACAAAGGATAATTTGTTGTCTTTCATGTTCCAGATGGCACCACCCAGTACTACACCCGATATCGCTACCAACTTGGTAAGATTTCTTTCTTTCGTGTCTTGCGTACTGCTCTTAATAAAAGTAATATACAAAGTTGGTGTCTATTTTCAGTTTCAATGTACATAGTATGCTACGCCTTAAGTATCAAATTATTTGTTTTAATTGAACTAAAATCATCACTTCCTAACCTTGACGCATTCTTGAGAGAATGCTCTACTGGACTAACATTATTGTTATATTAGGAAAACTACAAACTTGCATTTAAAGTAGGTACCTCCACGAAATCGCTAAAAAAAGAGTATAGCTTGATGAAAAAGACGCCAACCTTGCCGAAAACAAAACTTTATTGTCTAAATGCTTATGTTATTATTAAGAGGAAAGACCAAAGTTTTTTTTAATTATTTTAAAAATTTTCCTTTTTAGAACATTCTAAATTTTGATTAAAAAAAAAAAAAAACCTTTTCTATTTGTATCAGCGGAACTAGTAAATAACAGACAATTTTTAGCACGTTTTTTTGGTATGACACACACTAATTTGAAAAATCGTGCAAAAATAGAAATAATTATCGGATGTTAATGAAACTTTCAGAAACTATTCACAGATGATCGAAATTATAAATGTTTTTTTTATGAAAGTCATGGTAGAAATATTTTTAAAAATATTTATTACCCCCCCATAACTAATTTTATGAAAACGCTAGAAATTCGATCGCATAGGTTTTAGTGATTACAATAATTAAAAAGCACAGGGCTTTGCGGAATGCAAATCATTGTTTTTTTTTTTTTTTTTTTTTTTTAATTGGATACGCAGTACCTGAAAATCAGCTGTGAATTGTAACATACAAAACTCAAAACAAATACATAATTTAATTTCAAATGCTTTTATTTGCTTTTTAGTTGTTTTTATGAATATGGACAATATTTTCTGAAAGCAAAAAAAAATTTTCGATGAAAAATGAATTTTTAATACAATTATTTGTTATTTCATTAATTATAATAGATTTTACATTTAAGTTGTTAAAATATTATAAAATTAGTTAAAAGCCGCATCGGCTTTCATAAGTGTCCTTATGAGATAGATCTTTTTTAGCGCGTTGTAAATTGTATCATTTTGACTAATCAGATCCCCAGTAATTAAATGTAATTTTGTGCTTATAATCGAGCTGTAATTATAAAATACGGAAGACCAACCAGAATATAATTAAGTTGCGCTATTTGAGTTAAGCATTGTTCTCCGCTGTTAAGGCCTTTACTTTTGCGAAACACGTGTGAAGTTAATTTGATTTTTCAATTTCAACTGAGGTTACCTACAAGTATCAGTATCATCTTATGAAATTTATGATCTTATTTTTATATTAATCTCAGTTACGACATTTTTCCATAAATGAAATATGAAAATTAATAATAAAATGAATGCAAATACAAATAACAGTAGAATGTAATAAATGTACATAAAATTATAGTATTTTATGTACAATTCTGATAAAATTTCATAAAGGTACCTATAAATTAGATACCTTAAGAAATATGAAATTAATGTCACTCTTAACAGTTTTATTTTAATTTCTTTAGAATATATTTCCCATAAAGCATCATAAACGTAAAGGTGAAAGCTAAGTACAAAAAAAAAAAAAAAAAAATTAGACCGCTGAAAGTTTTTCGTTAAAAAATAACGGTTAAATAATTTGTTCACGTAAATGTAAATTATTTCACTTTTCTCCTTCCGTAGAACAAATTAGCCTCCTGGAATTCGTAAATATATCGTTCATCACATGTCAAGAGACGCGAAAGTTTGACCTGCTTTTGTTTTATTTTTTTTTGCACAAAAGCTAAGTTAAGTTTGGTTCAAAATATTTTAAATAAACATAATTTCTGATTTTCTTAAAATAAGTTTTGAAAAATGATAATTGATATTTAAAAAATTTCAAAGTCAGATTTTCATTTTTTTTTTAAATGGAAAAAATGGTCAATTTTGCTTACTCAAAAAACTAGATTTTTAACGAAAATTTCGGACGTGCTAGGAACGATTAAAAATGGAAAAAATACCCCAAAAATACTTTGACCTTTCCTCTTAATAATAACAAACATTTAGACGATAAAATTTTGTTTTCGTCAAGTTTGGCGTCTTTTTTCATCATGCTATTTTTTTTTTTTTTTTTTTTTTTTTTTTTTTTTTTTTTTTTTAGCGATCTCGTGGAGGTACCTAATTTAAAGCAATTTTTGCACATTTTTTATTGTCTCTGTGGGACAGATTGCATATTTATCGCTACTCTACCGTTACTTCCATTGTAAATGTTTGTATGAGTTACAGCATGTCGTACCTCCTTGCATGGAGTTTCACTCCTAATTTAAATCATAGGAAGTTCCAGTCAACTTCCTAATCGTTGCTTGTGGAACTCTCGCGTGGCTGGTTTCCGAACACTGCAATCTTGACCTCCTTAAAGTCAAGGATCACCTATTCTCATTGTCACTTCCTATATTCATATCATGCACTTCATTAAGGAATGGCGTAGCTTCTGAGCCTTGTATTGGGTAAAAAAAAAATTCAATCTTTTTAGGTCCCTTTTTCAAAGTGACTTCTAAGCTGATAACTTGAAATGTTTACTTAGCTCTGAAATGGCTTCTGATTATACAGCTATTTCTTGTATACTGAAAACGAATTCATTGAACTTGTCAACTGCAAAACTACTTCAGCTATTTTTTTTTTTTCTGCTATTAATTTAAATTCATAATTTTTTAAATTTAAAAATCCTGAAATTTAACACTGTTCGTACCAAACTAAATGAATTCCCGGTATTCATCTTTTGGGTTGCATCCCAAATGGAAGCTGCTGTGATTTCATCTAGGTGACTGGTTCTAAGACACAAACTTTGATGCCTTATATTCGAAGGCAAAATTTTACCATTCATCTAACGCCTAGAAGTCTTGCTACTGTGTCTCTAATAAAATTAAAACGAACAGGTCATATCCTGGGGTTAAGCCTGCAAAATATATCGAAAGCTTCATTTGTATTACTTCCCTATTTGCTGTTAGCGAAGAACACCTTAGGATTGTCTAACGTTAATTAGATCTGTACATCTTCATTGCCTCATTACTTTTCCACTTATGAACGTATAAAACTTTACTATTGAACTTTGAATTTTTTATACTTTGGGTCTTGCTCAAGAACTTGGAGAAATGTATGTTGGCTTTAAACAAATGTTAACTTTTGAAAGTATCTAATATTTAACTAGACCTGTTGCTTTAAGTCATTGCACATTTTTGCCACCTATACACTTTCAAGAGTGGATAATTTTTTATATCGCAATATATGCAAAAGATCCTTGGTCTTTCTAACATTGTTTTATAGACAACCGAAGATAGACGTTTGCCTTCCTACATTGGTGGAATAGCATGCCGGCTCCCTAAGTCAGAAAATGTCGAGGTAAGTTTTGTGTGTACTCGACTTTAATTTTTGGTTAACTATGTATATGTACTTTGTCTGTCAAAAATAAAGCCTCGATTTTGCGATTTTTCCGAAAGATGAAATAGATCAACTGAGATAGTTCCATATAAGACTATACTTATGATGGGCACATCCAGTTGACCTGGGTTCGTAGACCATCCTGAAGAGTTGGCCGGTACAAATAGAACATTTTTTTTTTCTGCAGAGCTTTAGTTTTAAGTTTCTGTTTTGGGTATTTTTACCATAACTATACTCGTCGTCTTGAGACTAAGCTGAAAAATTGTTCAGCTAGTTCAGTGGTCTGTTTTTATCGTAAATTTCAGTTTTCAATATGCAAATCCTATCTCTCAATGATTCATTCCCGAAATAAGATTAGTGTTGCGTCTTTATTTGGGATTCGGTGCCCAATCTGATACAACAGGCGAAATTCTTAACCCGCTCTTCTGGGCACTTTATAAGTTAAAACACTTGCCTTTTAACTCTACATTTGACAGGCCTCATAAAAATGTATTTACATGCAACTCTGAACGTTTCGTCGCGTTACTTACCATCGGCTCAGCTTAAAATAGATGACCGATTTGGCTCGAACATTACCGAAAGTAGACGTGTGCAAATAAGTTTAATTGGTTCCTGTATATAAACTAAGCAGACAAAATAGTATTTTAGTCGGCGCTTTTGAATTAAGGTACTAATAAAATGTATTAAAAGAACGTAAATCTTTCGGCTGACGGATATCGATCTTCGTTCGCGCTTAAAAACCTTTCTTTTCAAAATGTGTGTGTGTGGGGGGGGGAATAAATACTAATGTTCTATTCTCTTTTTTTTGAAGACTTTAAAAAAAAAAAAGGGTTAATTTTGCTCGCCTCGTATTGTACCGACACAAAATCAATAGGTTTGGTTCGATTTTCATAAAGACATCGCTGTTGAATTGATTGACGTTAGAGGAAATTTATTCTGGCCATCGAAAGAAATACATACTCCTGAAAGTTTCTTTCATTGATAAACTAATTTCTGATTCATTTAAGGCATTGACAGTTCTAGAAACAACTAATGAAGACTTCTAACGCGCTTGCCCATGAATTAGACTATTTCTACTCAACACTTGACCTTTTCTTCAGATATTTTGGCAGAACCTGATTGGAAAAGTAGACATGCTTGACAGAACCCGCTGGCCAGTTGGTATATATAATCTTCCGCCCAGAACTGGAACGCTAACAGACGTGGAAGATTCTGATAGTGATTTCTTCGGTCTTTCTATCCTTGAGGTAAGGAATAGCAAGCATAAATTTATTTGCCCAAATAGTGACTAGTTATCAGGGATGCTATTACAAGAACGTAATGGACACATACGTTAGCAATATAGTCAAGACAAGTAATGATATAATTGTCTTTTCACTGTTTAGTTTCTTTAGATATGACAAGTTATGAGGTTCACATTAAGTTATCTTAAGTTCCTTTTTATAAATTAAAGCATTTAAGGTTATTTAATAAATGTCTTCATTATAAGAACTTGTAAATTTAATTTCTTTATGTAAGCTTTGAAGGCTTCCTAATGTCACATTAAGTTTAAACACTGTCCTACAATTCTTTTTCCATAAGTACAGTTCCCCTCTGCCCTTTTTCTGTTATCCATGTAAACAATCTCATTAAGTAGACTACTCGCTCTTTCCTTCTGTCCCATTTGCCGTGAGTGTCAAATTCTCCAAGCCCTCTTCATTATGTGTCCCAGAAAATTCGACTAAACAACATAAATGATTTTAGGCAGAACATAAAGCAAGAAGTAATGATAACAGATGGAGCCACAGGTTGTTTGATTAGTGGATAGCAAACAGTAGAAAAAAAAACAGAAGTTAGATAGAATAGATGAGTTTGCAGGTAGATGACCGTTAATAGCAGAATCAACATTTGTCCTACAGAGATTATTACTTCACCAATAATTTTTATAAGAATTGGTCAACCATACACGACATTATCAAAAAATAAGATCGATGACCATAATAAACTTAAAATCGTAATTCCTAAAATTAGATTACGGAGAATATTTTCCAACATTTTAAAGACCGAGTACTTAAAAATTATATAAGAAAAAGGCGCTCACGTCATTTTCTCCAATTACTTTTACAGATTGTTTTACAGAAACAATGTCATGGCTTCGTCAATCTCGTAAAACATAGCGATGGCTGTTAAAAACAGTTTGTTTTAAAAATATACTACTTTTAAACTTTAAATGTTTTAAATCGGATTAATTGTATTTTAATCGTCTAATATTCCTCAAATATTTTCAGAAAAATCTTATTTTTGGAAGATTTTTCAATAAAGAATTATATTGCAATGAAAAAGTACTAAAAGGGACGCTAATCAACAATTTTAGAAAAAAACCCTATTCTAATTCAATTTCTACTCGAAATATTTATTTTGCTTCTATAATAAATTTAAAAACCTTAGGTATTGTGAATTAGTGGCGGTCCCTATTGTAGATGTGTTGAGACAAATTTTCTTCGATATATCTGGTTAAATTCGAAGTATCTATCCACTTGTAGTTTTACCACAATTGTGCATTCTCTTGACCTATACCAATTAAAACGACTTGTCGATTCTTTTAGAACAGCCTTTATGGAAAGGTAACCTGATAATGATTCGGATATAAACGGTAAAACATGGAAAATATAGTCTTTCTGCTCTGAAAAATATCTTGCATTTACAAAGCTTATATCAAATTTTTTTCTCTAAATACTATTAATAAAAACTACTTAATGAAATTCTAAGGTTTTTGACCATCAATGATAGTTTATTCAATGGGAAATCGAAAAAATTAGGATTTAACCTTTTTCCGAATGAATATACAAGCATCTTAATAAGCTGCTTTGACATCAGGTATCGAAACTCATAAAATGCTAAATTAAAGAATACGCAAATCCAGTAAATTAATTTGGATAATCCTGTCGTCTGGATGCAAGGAACGTATCCCTTTTCCACTCGCAGGTAACGTAACCTAAGAGTGACCCGACGAGTCTTGTAAATTATAACTATTTTGTAATTACGTATAATGGATGCGCAGTCATCGGCGTTAAACACTGAGTTGATGCACACTTACTATCAGGGCCAGTTGTATTCTAATGCATATAGCCAGGATTTGGGTAAACAGTTCAACTATTTTCTTGACAAAGACTAGGAATCCAATCTCCTAGGTAATCGACCTGTGAACGTATGACCGGCAGCACTGCACCAACTTACTACTGAAACCGCAGATGCTTATAGAAATTGATAACATGTCCCAACATAGCTTGCATTGTTATAATCTTTCTATCTGCACTTTGAAGTTTAGTTGCTATAAGCGGTACCTAATTTAAAATTATTTTTTTCCTCCTAACGAGTTTTCAATTTTATCTGTATTAAATAATATTGCAGGCATCAAAAATCCCCTGCATGCTACGTCTGTTGCTCCAAGTGATTTATGAGTGCATTATAGATTCTGGAATTCCACGGAAAACACTAAGCAAGTCACGAACTGGATTATACTTGGCAATTAACTTTTGTGAAGACCAAGAAATTAACAGAGGATTTGACAACTCCCTTTACAGTGAGTAACTTTTTTCCTTACTTCATTGAGTTTAACTTCTGTGGGAACCACTTGTATATTTGTTTGGATTTAAATCTTATTTTATAAGCGGTAATGTTCAATTTATCTTCATAACCATATTTAGATAAAGCACAATCTTCAAGTTAAATGTCATGATTCTCTATTACTAACCTCTCGTACAATACAAGTTTCAAAATTCTCGAATGGATATCCAGTTTTTAAATAAGTGCGCAGTTCATATCAATATGATATCCATATCTTTTAATTTTTATTACAGTTAACACAAAATCTGAATTCATATACCGGATATTTTCAATTCTTGACCTAAGCGGACCTGCAGTCAGCGTTGATACAGCTTGCTGCTCGAGCATCAGCGCAATTCAAATGGCAAACATGGATTTATATCTTGGACGCTGCGATTATGCCATTGTTGTTGGTAAGATTATGCAATACTAAAAAAATATTAAAACTAGTTTATGAACGTGACCTATTCAGAATTTCTCAAAACTGACCCGTTAAAGTTTCAACTTTTGATGGAAAGCATTCTTAAAAAAATAAGTTCAGTAACTGCAAAAATCTTGCAGAGGGCGATAAATTATTTTTGGCGTTTACCGAATTTGCATCGGTTATACGCCGAACTGAGCATTGTCCAATTTTACTGCAATTTACTGTTTTCTGGCAGGAACAAGTACACATCGTAACTTGTCGTTGCAAGTTCTGACGTGGGATAGAAACCGCACTAATTTTTTTTTTTTTTCTGATCAATAAAAAAAAAGCAACGTGTGCTACTCAAACTAATGACCTGCACACTTCAAAACTTAGCCTATTCCTGCCTATTTTGAGTCGACATCATGATTTAATGTATTACTGCAGTACATTTGTTAATAAAACGTCTCTTCATAAATAACGCTATCACAATGTTTCAGAAATAGACGATTCGAAGTTGCCTTTATTTTAAGGACTTATATTTATTTACTTAGGACTATTGACTCAGACAAATTTCATGTTCAGTATTCCGGTCGTTGAATTATTGGTAAAATATGAAAGCAAATTATATAAAGATATCTTAACTTTTTCATTTCTTCAAAGTTTACTGATCTTCTAAACTTTATAATTGGGGTTCTCAGATCAACTATTTTAAATAAACAGTGAAGTTGACTAGATCTCTACTTCTTTACCAGGTATTTTAAGATGTTAAATTACTTAGTAATTTGCTAATTCTACAAATTACAAGAATCTTGTACTTCGAAGCTTGACCTTCTAAACGATAAGTTTTCTCTTCCCAGGTGCCAACATGCTTGAAAATCTGAATCACGCAATTCAGTTCTTCAAATTAGGAATGCTGTCACCAAGCGGTCAGTCTTTGCCTTTTGATACTAAAGCAAATGGCTATGTAAGATCTGAAGGTTTTGTAGCAGTGCTCCTATCATCCAGGTCAGTGTTTATTTTTATTAACATGCTCATCTTGGTTTGTTATACTCCAAAACATTTCGGCCGTTAGAGCAAGATGTGTAAATACTTCTGGATCATTTAGACTAACACCTTCCATCCTCTTCAAAATAGGAAAGATCACCTGGTCTAACTAGTTGTACTAATTATCCGGGCAGCATGTCTTTGATATCCGTATACCATAAACCCATGTTGGCTTCAGATATACGGATATCTGTAAGAAAACAAAAAATTACCTTCAGATATGTTCCACTGCCTGCAGCATCGGGCGAAACATTGGGATGTTTATTTAGACATACCAAAAGATCTGAATTAGAAAGGTCGGGGACAGCAAAAACCTGCCTAACGTACGAAGTTAAGACAAATTTATCCGCACTTTCGTCACTTCTCTTTAGTGCACACTGCTAGCGAAGCGACCATGTTTACACTGTAACAGCAAGAAAACTGACTCGATCAGGCTTAAACTTCGATCACGTGACAACAGTAGTACCAACTACAAGCACGCATGAGCAGAAGGCAGTGTGACAAACCTCAAGATGTTATGACGAAAGTGCGGATAATTTTTTTTGACTTCCCTCGTATTAAAGATCTACGATTCGTCCGTCAGGACCATTTTAATTCGAAACTGTTTAACCATTCAGACCTTTCGGACTAAGCGCACTCCCACCAAGGAAATCTGGCAAAGAACTGTATTCAATTGTAGCAAGTACAGGTGAGGCCAAATGTCCTTTAAAATGGAAGGAACATTGAAAGACTCTTATCTTTTTGCCTCCATCTATCACTGGACTAAAGATAAAGCAGAACATTTTAAAACATTTAAATTACTGAGAATCCGGACACTAAGTAACTTCTCAGTCGACCTGACATTGAGTATCATCTAGTAGTCATGGATGAAGAATGCGCAATAATACAGCTAAATCTCCCGGGTTATGTCATTTTTCTTCTACAAACCAGCGACACCAAGGCGAAGACTATTAACTGTGAAATGCCCCCACCCCACCTCTAAACATGGAAAGCAGAACCAAAATATAAAAGGCTGGGTTTAAACTTCCGACACAAAACGATGATACACTTGAAAAAGCTGGGAGGTACGACGGTCGAAATATATAAGATGAGCATACGGAACCGAATCTACCATGGCGACAGTAGAATCTCTCTTCGTTAGAGAGCTTGTAATCTTTCTTTGGATTAATTCAAAACAGATCTTTGAATGTATTTTGATAAGCGTAGCTTCATTTTAAATGGCTTACGGGATCTTCCTCAAATCAGCCTCTATCCGAAAAGGACGCTTACCAGTGTGAAACTAGAGAGACGGCTTATTTTTTCGTGTGAAAAGGAAGATGGATGTAAGAGTTGCTCAGTGTTCGTTTTTTGTCGGTACGCAAAGAAATTAAGGTAGGTATAAATATCCATAAGTGCGTTCTTTCTGTAGAACTTAGAAAAGTTCTTAGTGTCAGTGAATAATACTATTTTATCTTTATACTTTTTGATGCGGCTTCGCTTTCAACCGTTACACATGACGTCACTGTAGACTTTCAAACTCGAATCTTTCCAAAGAATACCAGGATGTAGACAAAGTAATTCTGCCTACCGAACACGCCCCATTTTTTTTTCTCGAAAATGAGATGGTCGAAAGTACTTGAACATGAACATTGAGTTTATCCATAATTTTGACCACAAAAATGAATAGCGCTTGTTTTTATTTATTTATTTTTTTTTGTGAATACTTGCCTAAATATACTCGAGATTTTGGAACTGAATAAAGTGTTTGTATATTAAAGTCGTATGATAGTGGTGGGTGAAGACCTTGAAAAGCGGACGTACACTACGAAACTGCGTCGTCTAGATAAGCCAAATACGAAAAGATAACTTACGGAAATTTAATTTTTTTTTTTTTTTTTTTTTTTTTTTTTTTCATTTATTAAAAAAAAAAAACTATAATTCCCCTTCATGACGAAATATAAAACTTAGGTTTTTCTCGCTCCTGTTGTAAGATTTTTCTCTTGCAGTTCTCTCCTGAGCCGAATCTATGCCAAAATAGACAACGTCGTGTGCTTGTCTGATGGTTATAAAGAGCGTGGTAAGTATACGAATCTTTCACGCATGCGTCTTAAGCCAAATCCGATTAAAATATCAGTTACATTGACAAACCTTTAACTTGTCTCTCGCATAAGCATGCACAAGTGTCTAAAACATACTCTCGTTTCCTTAACTCTTATCTAAACCGAATTTCAGATAAATGCTTGGCATGTTCTATTACAGGAATCCTCAGCCCGTCTGAAAAAGATCAAATTAATCTCTTGAAGAAAGCTTATCAGGATCGCTACCCAGTCTATGTGGAGGCTCATGCAACTGGCACACAAGTAAAAATCTTTTTTTTTTTTTTTTTTTTTTTTTTCTTCCTCCTGTAAGAGGCCAGAGAGCTACTCGAGGTGTAAGGAAAGTTGCCCAGTTTATAGGATATGCGGGGGAAGATAACTTTAGACATGAACAGGTCAAGATTTTTAGTGATCGGAATCGTCGGTTGCTTAAGATGAAAATGGTCTGCTCATATTTGAACCGAATTCTCTTTAACAATTGAACAGATACCAAAAAGTCGATCGATAATCTCGCAAAAATATAACTGTATAAATGTATAAACACTTTACTCTGAAAGAATCTTACGGTAACTTATTTTTGATTTATGAAAAATTGGATTGTTATATTTGAGAGCTTACTCTTCCTACCAATACTAGAAATAACCTTCAATGGTTAGGCTAACCGTACAAGGTACATCTAGATACCCACTTTTTGACACTCCTAATGAAAATTAGATCAATGTAAAACTAGGGATGAATGAGCTGAATATTCTTTCTTGCCAAATACATGTTGTAGCAGGAAATGAGTCGCGTAGCAATTAGTATGCATCTAACAATTATCAATTAGTTGAACGGGATAATTAAGGTGACAAGATAATCTCTATATTTGACATAAAACTTTAAAGATCTGTAGGAGGAGGGCTTTAACACTTCACTTGGTCACATGTTGGTTCACTTGATGTGAGCCATAAACAAGTTTAAATATTTTAAGACTCTCCAAGTAAACGAGTCTCTGAAACTATTAGTCTCTTATCAAACTCACTTTCTCCAATATCGTTTGATATCAAGAGAATTGAAGTGACTTAATGGGCTCGAAGCGAAAGACAAATGTTCCCAAAAAGAACTAAAGTGCTTAAAAAATTTTTTTTTTTTTTTTTTTTTTTTTTTTTTAAATGAATGGATCAAGATCTCTTCATATCCACTCATAAAATATTATACAATTTTAATCTCTCAAATTATAAAATTTTGTTTGCGAAAGATTTAATTCCGGAAATGTGCTGACTACTAAAAATTAAGATATTCAGCCATTAACATGCCTTAGTTCTTGCGTGTTCTTGTAAGGTGAAACTGACTTGAACCGTCCTGGGTAAGACGATAAACTACGTCTAACAGCAAGGTCTCTGATGAAGAGGTTTTGAGAAGCGTGGAACCACTTAATTGCTGGTGTTCCCATGTCCACCCTGACCCGGGGTGGTAGCACCTCTTAGGGTCTCAGCTCTGGGCAAATAGTTGATCCTAAACCGGGGTTAAAGCAGTATGAAATTGTAAAAATAGGTTTTAATACCAGCAATAAATTTTTTGAATGAAAACTTATTACCAGCAATACATTTTTGGAAGAAAAAATACATTAGCAAAGTAAATCTTGTCAGCATTAAATAACCCATTGAGGTTGATATGCTGTAAAACAAAACACTTGAAGGCGTAATGTCCAACTGATAATCTTTATTTTTTATTTTTTTAAAGCTTGGTGATGAAACTGAACTAAAGGCTCTGAAAGAAGCTTTTGGCGACAAACTGCAAGAACCCTTACTCATTGGTTCTTGCAAGAGCAACTTGGGACACACGGAAGCTTGTGCAGGTATATATAGCTTGAATCTACAAACTTGAAACGTGTAATAGTTGGTAAGGACTATTACCTGTTGGTTACTTCTGTAAGTTCCGCATATTAAGAACCAAAAAGCAATCTTTTTCTTCTCTTGATTAGGTGTTGATCTTTAATTTTCTAGACTTTATCATAACTAGTTGATCGCTTTTATTCAATCACACCTTAGGCCTAGAATCTGAGTATTGCAATAGTAAAAGACCGAAGAGTACAGAAGCTGAAATTTAGTTTGTCAGGCTTCGTCTGTATGACTAATTTTAAGACTTGACACTGCATCCAAGAATGGCTGGTCTATCGGCAGTTCTTAAGATACAACTGTCATCTGATCACAAATGCTTAGTCTAAAGTAAACTTTTTTTCGACACTAATCCATGCGTGAATAACGTAAGTTTCTTATTCTGTTAGTATTGTAATAAAATGGTCACTTTGTAGATCGGGTACTCGGTCGCTGTAACTAAATTTTGGTTAGATTAAATCCAAATTGAACACTTACAATCACTAATTTGTGTGCGCAATTCTTATTTCTCCACTGAAACTTATAATTGCAGGCTTGGTTGGTTTACTGAAATGCGTGCTTTCAATCCATCACGGTGTGATACCGCCAAACGTGAACCTTACGTCGCCGCATCCTCTCCTCACTGAATCAAAACCTTGGGCAAAAGTTGTAACACAAGAAACCAAACTGCCAGGTAAGTGGTGGTAGGTGACTACACAAACTATGCAGAATTTGCAAGCGTGGACGGTATATGTAGTCAAATGTACATAGTCAGAATTGCGACTGTCCAATCTTCATGGTTTCTTGACAAATTAAGCAAATTTTGAACATGACTTTATATGGAAACCAGAAAAGAAATAAAAGTAATGAAACTATCACGTTATCACCGAAAACTTTGACTGTAATTAGCAGTTAAATTATCTAATTGAATCACGACAGAATTTTAACTTTAATTGACATTAAGACTAGACTCTTGAGTTAACTAACGAATTGATACTAGTTCTGTATCAGCCAGCACCTTATAGAACTGGGTATAAGAATTATCCACCGAAAAGAAGCAAATCCTAAATAAGTATATCGACTTCTGGCTATAATAAAGTGTATTCAGCTGCTGTCGCTTGTTACCAACTTAAATGACCAGCCACAAAGTTTCAAATGTCGCAGTCTCTGGTACCAGGCTAAAACTATGCTTAGATTTGTGAATATTGAAAACTTTAATTGCTGGCAAGTCTACAACGAGCACAATATCCACTATATAAGTGGATTCGGATGTTGTACAGCTGGAAATGTTTAACGTGCATATAGTAGTTAAATTCTTAGCAAGACGCTATTGTCTGAAATCTTGCCTTGCTATAATTAAATACAAACCACTTGATCGATAGGGCACTAAGTTGAACTTTAAAATATTTTTCAGATGGGTACATCGGTGTGAGCAGCTTCGGATTTGGAGGAGTAATTGGCCACGTCGTACTGGAAAAACTGCCGGAGAAAATAAGTAAGCTTTGTGTTTTCACTTGTTAGAATCTTATATATAATTCGTCAACCTTGGTAGTATCGGGGTATAGTAAACACAATTAGCTAAATATTTTATAAAACTGATGGGAAGACGAGAAATATCTGTTCTTTCTAGAACAAGCGAAATACAGAAATATTACTTCTCTCTGAAATATAAAGTGAGTGGATGTTTATAAAATCTCTATACTCGAATCAGGAACATGTTGCAAAGTGGTCTACGATCACTACTCCTGGGAACATCTTGGCGACGTCTACGGGAAGACATTGTAAAAATCACTTTGGCGATTGTCTATATATGGTCACATGACAGACTCAGCGTGGTGCATACCTATTAGGTCAAAAATTAACTTAACCCTTTCAATTATCTTTGATATCTTGAACATCTAACGGTCTCCAGACTGATACCTCTTAGCAACTTTCGGCTTGTCTCTACTCTTGTTCATTTGATATATATATATATATATATATATATATGTTACTATAACAAGTTATACTGCACTCTTCAAAAGTGCTATTCATTTAGATACCAGCCAATCTTTAACCAACTTGAGTTATTTTCTTATCTCTAGTATGAAGTAATGCCTGCTTTGTTGTGGGTGTTTTCATCTGTTTAATCGCAAAATCCTTGCACCACCAATGCACTGCTTCCCCTCGAATAGATCGGTGTTAACAAAATATACTACCGTCATAGTCCCTATGCAACACTTTAAATGTTTGGCCATTGCCCTGTTACGAGCTCATCCCCCCCTACCGCAAAACCTACGTCCCTCGTGAAACTGTCGAGTTTTCTTTCTTCCAGGCCCCCGAAATTTGTCTTTTCAGTTGATTTGTTCGGCGTTAGTCACAAGTTTTGTGGTAGCTCGTAACAATCGCACCTGACACTTGCATTAACAAGTCTTCCATCGGCTACTCATTTTATGCCTACCAGCATTATCTGAAATAATCACGTAAACATATTATGATCAATTTTTGTTTCATTACTTTATTTATGAATTTCTCTTAATCGCATTAATTTATCTTGCAGTCAACATTCCAAAGTATGTACTACTTCCAGTAAAGCTAAAACATGAAAATCATTCGAATAAAATTATCAAATATGTTGATGAAAACACTTCACGCACTGAAACTCTCTGCCTAATGGCAACTGCTTCTTTCTGTCTCTCACCCGAACCTGATTTCATTGGCTACATCAAAATCTTCAAAAATGGTAAGTTTGCTTATAGTATCGCAAGGTCTCTAATTGCGCTTATTTCTTTCCTGACAGTATAAAACCAAGTTTTAGAATTTTTAAGATCTTACAAGAATCTAACTAATGTACCGATTTCAAGAAACCAGCTGTGTAAATTTTGGGGCCACTATCCAAGTGGCAATGACTAAGTTACAATTAATATATTTCTACTTGTTAGTATATCTATACTTAGACTAAAATCTATACCTGCTGAATGTGCGAAAAAAAATTAAGCAACTTATAAATAAATCTGTAAGACTCTTGATAGTCATCTCAACACATTTTCTGCCAACACTAATCCTTGAATTTCACTAATTAATCGCAAAGTAGATTTATCAGGAGCCAACCACAAGACTGCATTTAGCGATTCAGAAGTCGCGCATGGAACAAGGAAATCGGATAGGTGTATAAACTAGTATTTAATGTATTTCTTAAGTCTTAGAAATAAACGCAATGATTTGTCTTGATTTAAATGCAAAGTTTAATTGGATTTGTTACAGATATGGTTGTAGATATAAAGAGTAGAACTGGCGACAGTACAATCTGGCTCATCCTCAACGACATCCTCTTCGCTGATCAATCAATGTTTAACGAAGACTTGCTTCAGATAGAGTTCGTCAATAGATCCTTTGACAAATACCAATCTGTAAGTAGCACAATTGCATCAATTGAAGACTTGAGTATGAAAAGCTCTTGTTTCTAAACTAATTCAGTGTAATCGGTCAATAGAAGTCAAGTAACGAGAACAATCTTGGACTAGTTAAATTAAGTGGTCCGCTCGTTTTTTAAAAAGGTGAATCTCAGAATCTTATGGATTAGCATTACTGTCCTATCTATATTTGTTAGAATCGAAAAACGTTGGCATCATTTTAGAAAGGGATTCTATTAATAAATACGGGATCAAATCCGCCCCTGACTACTTAGGTTATCTGTAATTTGTTTTATTTGCAAATATCAACTTTGAAACTAAAGTCATTCATAACTGCGTATAAATGTCCATTACCTCCCAGTCCGTAATAGTACGCAGTTATCGATGACGTAAGTTTAAAACTTGACAGATTTTAAAACAAAATACAGATAACACTTCAAGAAGTCCAAGATAGATTGGATACTGTATTTAATCGATGAACAGGACCCCTACATTCGAAAACTATAAAATAACGCATATTTTTCTAGTCTGACAAATAACGTAGATAATTGAAAGTCCAATAGGTGTTTATATATAAAAACGATCCCACAACTTTGTTTTATATACTAGTAGACTAGTTAACTTTAATCATGCAAACACGTTCGTCGCATAAAAATTTGCCTAGCAATCTCATTTCAATATTAAAGAAAATTCCAGCAATTCTCACATAGAAACTATGCAAGACTGGTAATATTTTCAATGTTATTGGGGTGCATTGGGTTATTTAATATTTCTAATTCTTCAGATTAGAATTATTAACGATACATTGCTAAATTTCCAGATTTTATGCTCAAAAGGCAGTGATGTATTCCTCTCTAAGATCTTTTCAACGGAAGAGCGCAAACGTCGATTTAAAGACCAATTTTTCTTAAGTGCTGCAACTTTGATTGGTAAGTAACTTGAAAATATTTGACAAACGTAAACATTACCCTTTTAATCTTCCTGAATTAAGTCTTGTTAAGCGTTATCAATTTAATTTGGCATTCAATCGAATTAAAAACATTTTCTCCAAATTTACTCTTGTTGCAATTAACAGCAATGACGCCACTACTTAAACCCTAGCAGACTAAACATTTTCTGTAATAATGCTTAGCGGCATGCAAAATTTCTTTACGCCCTATAAGTGATTGCCAGATAGAAACACCCATTGGAAGTATATTTCTGCATTTTTCTTGCATTTACGGCTCTTCCACTAGAGCTATCCATAAGTAAAGGATCGTCTACATGCATTATATAAGAATTTACTCTACACTTTTTGTATACTTGTGCTATATTGTTAATAATTGCTCTTTTGGATAAGTTATTACACTGGGGAGGAGTGTAAACGGGACGATGGGCGAACCTGTCAAATTTAATTGAAGAAAAAAAATTGACTTAAAACGGAGAAGTTGGAAGAAACTGGAAACGATCATAAAATGGAAACTAGTGATAAGCCTCTACTGTTTAAAATACCGATGAGTGTCCACCGGACGATAGGCGAACCTATCTATTGTTATCGCTGAATGAATTCTCGTATTCGCCTTCAAGCTGAAATCTGTTACATTTTAAATGTTTAAGTTAAATATAACCAGTTCTTTGAGAAATTTGACAACTTTACAGCCCGTCATCTTACGTGACGAGAAAATTGTTAGATGGCTTTATATTCCATCTATCAATCTGTTGTACAGTGGTGATCTTTTTACAATAGGCACTGCAACCAGAAATAACTTTTCATATTACTAATGATTAAGCACACCAAATCACGAATATCTTTTGTAGAAGTTAATTGTGCGACATCCTTTTTTTTTTTTTTTTTTTTTTTTTTCAATGTGAATTGTCCTACGAGAGCCAAGACACTACAAGTGACTTAGTAATCTGCAGACTTTTTTTTTTTTTTTTTTTTTTTCATATTGCTATCGATTAAGCACTCTAGATAACAAATCTACAAAATCCTTTACATAGGAAATCGTTATATAAACATTTGTTTTTAGCGTGTGTGCCGGGGTATCAATTTACAGAACATACCGGAGCCTCCCACCATTTAACTTCTATAAAATCTTAAAATTGAGATTCGTGATCTTAAGCTCTTTAATCTACGCTAAAAAGCAAAATAAAAATAAACCCAAAGAAATTAAAGCTTTCTGGTTGCAGCGCCCATTACACAACTCCACTATTTCCAAGTATGGATGAAAGTGTTGGTTCTGCTCCACGCTTTAAAATCGACGAAAGTACCTGGTTGAAGAAATTCTTTACAAACATCGATGCTGTACACTGACATAGCCACCACTCTGAAGATTAGAGATAAATCAAGAGGGCAGTTTATCAAGCTTGACATGCTAATTCAGATATTCTGCAAAACGGCCTACTTATGGGTGCCAAATATAAGTGCCAGCATTATTAAACTTCCTTCAGCATTCGGTACGATGCTTATTTGATAAGGCAGTTTTATTTTCAAAATTGTCTCGACGGCTCTTTTGTTCCAGGAATCAAATTCCCTGCTTTAAGTTGAGAAATTCCCAAATCGACTGTTTCAATTCCAGCTGGGATGGTTATATTCACTTATGCGCGAATACACTTGAGAAAAATATGAATCCATTTCTCCCCACTATGGGTTAATTAGTAAAACGTGAAATTAGTAAAACTTATACTTAGTTTTCTAACTTTAAATAACCTGCAATGGATTATGCCTTAGAAAATGAATTAAACCATTTAAGGACTGGTACTTCGAATGTTGTTTCACCCTCAGTTGCTCATCTAAGCTTTTAAATTACTTTTTTATAAACAATTTCGGAATTGATCAAAGAATGCTCGTAGCCATCTGGCTTTTATTGTCGGTAATTAATACCAATCGATAATTTTCAAAGGGTCTCTTAACTGATTTAATTCAGGGAATTGATTACCTGATCAGAACTTAATTTATTCACTTGTCTAATGTCACTTGCACATTTGTTATAGCTTTCCTGGACTTGTTGACGCTGTGCGATTTCAAGCCGGACGGTATTTCAGGCATTGGTCTGTCGGAAATCATAGCAGCCTATTATGATGGTTGCATCTCTTTGGAAACTTGCTTACACACTCTGGAATTGATCGCTACTTACCTTGCCAGTAAGATAGGTATGTACATTTTTTTTTATTATTTTCTGTCAAATTGACGATCGTGTAAAACTGCAAGATGTCGCTCTAAGCTCAAAATGATCTGAAGGAAATTTAGAAAATTAAGCCTCCATAAACTAAGCTGACGAATTATCGTTCACAGCTGTTCTACATAGTGTTTAAACATGTGCTTTGAACTTTTCTTTCCATCAACATTGATGGCTTCAACTTTCGACTGAAGAGCAAGACCATTACATTAATTAAAGCTATTCACCGATTCATTTAAAACTGAAGATAACTAAAGCAGGTGAAGTAGCTACTCTTCTAAATAGCTTGACTTTAGTCTTGGATTAATTGAAATACGATTGTAAACTTATTTCAAATTATAGGAAAAACCAAATTTCAATGACCCAAGATATATTGCTAAATATTTACACTATTTATAGAGAACTACATACTCTAAATGTAAAATAACCACGTAATTTCACATGCACTCTTACAGAGGAAGAATCTACCCGGAACTCTGTCTTTGAAGAATTATAGTAATGTTGGACACTTAATCACGCGTAAAGGCTTCAAGGCATTATCTTAATGGTACATAGCTTTGGGCAACTTGATGTGGTGTAATGGTTAGCAAGCTTGTCTCGCTAGAACAATTACAACTAAGTGAGTTCGATCCTCACTGGGTGCTCTATACTTTCGGTTTTGTGACACATCTGGGCTACGCTTGGAAAATAACTATATCGCGTAGCTTTGGGTTTCTGACCAGTTTAAAGATCAGCGTACCTAAGATGTGGGGGGGGTGGAAACCATCTCCAAGACTTTTATCGAACCTCATAGAATCAAATCGAAGTTTTTGTATCCTAGAGCGCATCTTCAGGATTATCGAACATTGCTATTTACTCAAACTGAAAATCCTGTAACTTCCAACTATCTCTATAGCATTTTAATATTTCAGATTTTAAAGAGGCTCCTTTCGATCAGAGATCATTTGCTGTAAGAAGTGTTGATCTACCAAAACTTTACCCAAGAGCCACTCCAGTAGCTATTGTGAGTGAATTTATTTCCTACATCAATATTCCCAAAGACGACGAAGAATCTTTGAAGACTATATGCACATCTGGTTTGTATAAATCTTGCACTGTATTCGTTATACAACTCGTTGGATTAAATAAGCGATGTTTAAATTCTTAAATGTAAAATCTCGTGTAACTACGCGTTACTATCTAAGTCTATTGAAACTTAGATGTGCACTAAAGATAAGTGATGCAGAGGAAGGTAATTTTCATATTTTTTTCTCAGATGGCTTGCATAAAGAGGTTTTCCCGCCAATCCCAAACTATTGGCAACAGGAATTGGATGAAACTTTCACTCTACAATTGAAAAGCATTTTGCGTCCAAAAGAAAGGTAAGTTTTAAACTTGACGCCTTGAATATCACTCGCAAATGACTTTGAAACTTAATTGGGCGGTTAACTTAAACTTGAGCTTCATTTCAATCTACGCATATATTTGACCTTTGGCTGATGCCAGTGATAGATATGCACACTTGAATTAAGGCTATGATAGCCTAATGGGCAGTAGATGTATAGAGATGCAGTTGACTTTTTTATCCTCTAAGCTAAAATCTTAAGATTTTTCACTTTCCTTCGCTTATGCGTAAATAGACCTGACGGTAAGCGTTCCTCTCCAGCCTGTTATTAAGCATTACTTTAAATAATACATCACCAGATAGTGATGTATTACGAAGTTGTGTAGTAAATGCAAACTAGATAGACAAAGTTAGAATTTGACTTTTTCTGAGATCTTTCTTGTGCAACTCTGAATATGAGATTGTTACTCTTAGAATTAATTGAATGTTGAAGTGGTATGGGTAAGGTATCTACCGAGGAGGCATCTTCACCGTCCAATATTTAAAACCAAAGCAAAATACAAAAGTCTTCATTCCATGAAATAAAATACTTTGGGCTGTGGAAAGTTGCGCTCTCATCCACAGTAGTCCCTGTGCCTGCGTTTCTGAGATAGATAGTGCTTTTTCGTTAGGGTCTATGACTCAACGCATTGGGCAAATGAAAAAGCATGCGGTTTTTAAAGGCGCCAGTCAAGCTAATATAACGGGTTTTAATCTTCCCTGGTATTAGCCTTGCCTACATTTTACAAAGTGTAAATTTAAGCTTGCCACTATCGAACCATCTCGTGCTTACCGAATTTCTGAAACCATTGATTTTTTATCAAGTGAACTTTGCAGTTTTTCTTCTGGGAACTTCAGATCTCGATGTCTGATATCTACTTCAGTTTTTTCTTTCTTTCAGATCGGGGCGCTGGGTTTCGTGTTTTAGTAAACCTGGCATCGTTTTAAAAGACTGTCAACAATTTGGATTTAACTACGTTCATCATTTGCTGACACATCCAGTCGACCTTTCTTTGGCCAAGGTTCCCAAACACAGTGATATATTTCTTATCAATGGCGATAAACAAACAGGACGTCTACTTCTGATATCTGAAACTATGGAATTTACTTACTGCCATCCAGATTGTTCTTCTGTATTGTGTACACTTGGAAACTTGCATCTGTTGAGTAAGTGACTTATTTTCATCGTTACTTTGAGATTTCTTTGAAAGTGAAATGTATTTACTCCTTCCTGTACTCATGATTTTTAATGTTATATTAAATCTAAGTTTCCAAGTCGCTAAATATTGAATAAAATACCTAAAACTGAGAAAAATAATGTAAGAAAAATTGACTTGATGTGGATGGCACTTGTGACGAGAAGAGTTTGATGACTTGGAGAAACGTTGAGGGCTTTTTATATATATTTAATATAAAGAACCTACACACGACTAAACTTGTATGCCTATTTGTACACCGGTGGAGCTCATAAAACACTTGTGCGCGCGCCACATGTTTGTGAAATTAAGTCGACTTTTTAGCAAAAACTCCCCACCCCACCCCGACGGAAACCCGTCTCGAGCTTTCGCTGCAACATCTCGATACAAAAAGGCCTTTATGTCGTAGATTGCCACACTTAGTGGAGTTAAGCTAAGTTCGAAATTGGTGTTGGGTGTAATTCTACATTATCCTGTGAAAAGTTAAACAAGGATGTATACACATATTTTTTTTTTTTTTTTTTTTTTTTTTTAAACGCCTGAAAATACTCTGCTCTACGTCTGCTGTTTAGATAAATAAAATGAAGCATAACGGTATTTAGTTTGGCTTGTGCTTATTGGAATTTGACTCTAAAAGAACTCTACAGAACAGCATTTGAATGTCTAGCTAATTCAACTTCGCTTCATAGATGCCTAATCTTTCTCGTGTTGGAATAACTGCCGGTACCGTCTCGTTAATTAGCCCAATTTCTTGAACAATCGCTGCTGATAAAGACATAACTTGATCAAATCCATAAATTCCTTTGTAAATCTTTCATTGTATATTTTGTAACCAACTCTTAACATCTGCAAAATCTGTTTCCAAGGCACAATTTATACAAAATTGCTAGAACTCTTAATCTGAAACCTTAGACTGCTATTACAGGTAAACAGTTAAAATAGTCTTCGGTGAAAAACGTTTAGAATTGATTCGCAAATTGTCCGATTTGTGTCGATCTTGCAGCTGACAACATTGATGTAGCCAAAGTAAATCCTGACGTATTTCCTTTGGATCACACAACTCCGCCTATTGGTCACCTCATCACTTGGAATCATGAATATTGGCCAATTCCTGAATGGCAACGTTACTGCACACCTAGTAAGTATGCCTTGAATGAACTTTGTATGTTAATCAATTGCATTAATTACCTGGAGATAATTTACACTGGTTCTTTACACTCGCTCCAAAGTAGTTTACAATCTAGCTCTTGTCTCGATCAAGCTGTCTTAAATTTTGACTTGCAAATTTATTGTGATCATAAATTATAGGAAATATCAGCTTTTCACAAAACTACTAACAAACTATGAAACGTTCATTATTTTCTGATGATACACCTTTTGAACTTAACCTTTCTACGAAGTGTTCTGCAACGATGTTGTGTAAATAAAACTTTATTCTTAGAGTACCATGAGTCATAAATTACCTCAAAAAGAACAAAACTTATTAATGGGAATTCAATTTTAAAATTGAAACCGATCACAAAAGAACCGAAAACACTGTCCAGTTGACAAATGATAATCCTTTCTCTACAAGGGAACATTAGTCAGTCATCGACCGAGCAGTCAGTACCGATTGAATTTAAAATCTAACTTTAAACAGGTGTTGTGAATTTAAGATGAAAAATTATTGAAAACTTTGGCTTTCCTGTCTAAGCACTATATTAAACTTAAAGGACATAAGCGTGGTAGTGCTAAGTTTAAAAATCTTTCTCTGTAATTTCAGTGAATGTAGAACTCTATTAGATGGAACTAATAACTGAGATATAGGCTGGGCCTGTCATGGGAATTTTTCAGCGGGCCTGTGAATTCCTCTAGGTAGGAAAATTATTTGATATGCGAGTCTATTACGCACGAACATACATACAAATCACATACAACGCCAAGCATTCATTGGTTAATTAATCACCACTACGTTATTATAGACAATTTACAAATCGCAGCAATGCGACAATTTTGTAATCGCTGTATTTTCGTGTAGTCGGTTTTGTGCACTTTTGGGAGAAACTGATCAGAGGCTTTCTTAAGTCTGCCCAAAACTCGCTGGCTGATTGGTCTATGCGAACCAATCAGATCTTCTGCATGTGAAGAATTCTTCCCGCGCGGCGATCTGGAGCCTATAGTCACTTATTTAATCAAGAATTTTTCTTAGTGAATTCAGCAGCTAAACAAATCCACGACAGTTGAAACCATGCGCTAACCTTCTCACTCGCACACCACTCACATGCTGAACATACCTTGTATATACTCGCATAATTTTTTCTAACACTGCAAATCTTAAGTCATTATAAGACTCTCATGAACATTATTTCAGTGAACTTTGAAATACTAAAATAAGTTAGACAACTCTTATTTATTTCAATCTTTTCTTAAATGCATGCTTTCTTACACATTGTTTGATATTGTACATCTTGTGAAATACATATTTTATGTGTAACAATGTCTTTGGATTATCCTTTTTTTTACGTCAGCCCTGTTTTCTAATCTAAAGTTAAATGTAGTGAAATCTGCCACAATGACAAAGATAAGTGTAAAGTGTTTTTTTTTTTTTTTTTTTTTTTTTTTTACTGTTTGATTTGGTATCAATCACAACAAATAACCTTATTGAAGAGTATATTAATGCAAAATTCTGTCCCTTTACATTCTGCTGGGCTGGCTAGTTTTTCCTAAAAGGAAAAACTAATGGAATAGTCCCAACCAAGAATGAATAACATTAAAGGAGATCTGAGAAGCATTAAAAATACTCTTAATAGAAAAATAATTATTGAACGATTATAGAATTTGAAGGAGCTATATTAACATCAAATAACTCTGGTATTTGGGATCACTTTGTCATATTTAACCTTAACTGAAATCAAAAGTGACTTACGAAGGATAGTTCTGTTCCAGTATGTAAATTGTTTAGGAGGGAATAACTTGGTAAGCCGCTTCCTAGTTAAGTTACTGTTGTATGTATTAAAAAAATAATCACTTGCACTACAGTATTACCTTAATGATAATGATCGTTATTTAACGCTATCGAAAATTTAATGGGGTAAATCAGTAATACTATATTTCTTCTTCCAGTAAGAAACCAACTTATAACGGAATATCCAGTCGAGTCCCATGATAGACACGCACCAATACCAATTTTGATTGCAAACGTCGTTGAAATCCTTCAGGTAACTTAAAACTGTCAAATATTCCTGTTACCCAATGTTTTTGATACTGGTTAGTTTTTAGTTATGGATGAGTTCTCTTATAACGCCCGTTCTCGCCATATATCGATATGAATGATTTGGGTGTGTATTGGACTTCTTTAATGATTTAAAAGAAAAGTGTTGCTGAATACAAAAATATTTAACACTACAGAAGGATAAGGTGAAAGTTTAAGTGTAAATTCCTGGTGCATAAAGTTCGAGTGGAAGTTCTATAAATAAATTATAGAATTGCAATGGAGGAAAGTATGGTTTCAATATAGCAAGGGCAGTTTAGCCGTCTAAGATCGTCAGCTAGTCGTGCAAATATCGTATTTCGTCTCTGGGTATGTTACTGTGAACGCAGGATCAGAGAATGTGCAAAATTCATTTATAGGTATAGATTTTCCATCTGATTATATAGACATAGATCCACTTAAAGGGTCTTCGGTTTCTCATTGGTTCGCAGTCTATATCCTTATGAAAGCTTTGATTGGTTGAACTATGGCTTTGTCTGATTTTTATTATCCGTCTATTTTTTTTGAGATTGTGAAATGTTGGTCGTGTTTATTTTATTTCTATATCATCACAATACAAAGTTCTTATAAGAAAGTTTGTCCCCATATTAATGATCAAATAACATTTTACTGAAAAATTGATTTATAAAAATCAAAACTAAGCTTGCAAAGGATTTAAATCTGTACAAGTTATGGCGACTTAGAAATTATTTGCTTGTGACTGAATTCTCACAAATCGTTATCTGAAGCCTTTTAAGTCTTAAAGCCTGCATTACTCTAAGTTGGATTAAATTTGTACTTTAAACAATTGAAAAGTTACACAGGACCTATCGTCAGGTTCAGACTCCTCCTCAAACTTCTTGAATAGGAGTAGAGGTTTCTCTTGTTTTCTGTTTGGGGCTTCCGGTTGCTTTTAAAATATTTTCATTCTCTTTTACACCCAGTAGCCCCTTGCGTGTTACTGCCGTTATCGCCTTGGTTGGAGTAAATTGATATATTTTTACTTTTTATTTATTTTTATTTTATTTTTTTTTAAAATACAATGGATTATGCTAACTCAGCTTAACGTGATGGTTACTCCGCATTGTCGGCTAAAAGGCCCGCTAGGTGATACTGTTCAGCAGTGTAAAACTTCCCGCTACTACATCCCGGAGTAAAAGCGGAAGAAGGTTATTGTCCTAGTCCTTGACAACGCCACTTAGCTAGCATCATGGCAGACAAGTTGGAGTAATCCCCATAAGTGGTAGTAGTTTATCATTCTGTATGTTTATAACTTTTTTTTCCTTTTTTAGAAGCCGATGTGTGCTGTTGCTGTCGAAATCACCTACATTGTAGAAATTACCCGACAAATGATCGATGGTGCCTTAATTGGAATCCATGAAGGAATGCACAAAATCACCGGCTACACAAATTGTGAGTGGTCGTTTGTGTTCTAAAAAAACTCTCATTAGTATTTTTGTCAGTACAAACTCTAAAGATTTGCGTGCTTGGTTTAATAAAGTTGAGGGGAGAATTTTTACTCTAATGGTGAACTATTTATTGTATACAACGCGGAATTTGGTACCCTAATTCCTGCCCGAAAAACAAGTTATCACAAATATTATTCAATACAAAATGTGCCACTTCAAGACAACACCGGTACAAACTGAGTTCCCATCACGAAACGGGTACCAAAATTAAGTCCTCCACCTCGCCCAAGAAGCATTAGTCACTTTCTCACTCAGTTGGTCTGTAATTTGAATAGATTTTCTTTCTTTACTGGGTCGTTAAACTGTATAAATATACTTGTCATGCAGGTGTCAGTCATTTAATTTTAAATATTCAGCCGAATCCGGTTACAATTGGTTACCGAATTTTGTTCGAAAATCAATACTACTTAAAATAACTTGCTGACAATACTTCATAGTATGTACGCGGCGTGTGCCAGGTTCATAAATACCCAAATTATATTCGGGTTACATAGTTTGCCCAAGCAATGAATCTTATTGTATATCCATTCTCTCTCTGGTTTGAGGAAGCTCTCCTGTGTCCACAATTCTATCAACTAATATTACTAAATGTCTTCAATTGGTAATTCCACAATTTAATGTGAAGGTAAGTTCTTAATCAGTTCGTCCATTTTGCAGAAAAATCATGAAAAAAATGCAATGAGGAATTATTTGGCTTCTCAAATACTCTTAACCGAGATTTCCATTCAACAAACCACTAGCGGGGATGTCAAAACTTACTGGATGCCATCTTGTAGAATGTAAATTAAATCGGAAACTTAGCACGAAATCATAGGCAAGCTGTTGCCCGCTGGCCACATGTACCCTAATTTTGATGAGGAAAATAACGTTTTCCTTTTATTCTCACTTGTTCACTCACAACACTCTCATTTATAACCACATACATATTCAAGTAAAATGTTTCTTGAATTTGATGACCTTTTTGTTGAAGGTAACATTGTGTAGGGATACAGGGGGCGCTTATCTGTCTTTCTGGTAGACAAGTTACGTGGATCATATGACAGCCGCATCGTGATGCCATTCCATACGATGACTAAAGCGGCAACCAAATTCAGTTCGTTTTACAGCATAACACGGAAAGGTTTTCTTTTTAGTCTGGTATGCTGAGGCTAAATCTGCCTCCTCTGCAGCTTAAACGTACGTAGTGCAATTTTCCTTTGTTTCTACATCTTTCCAGATGTAGAAACACCAGCTCGCAGTCCTCAATTTAGAAAAACCCAAGACTTGCTGCTTTACCGTTCGTGTAATATGTCCTTCTCAGGGACATCTTGCCCGTTTGAATCGGGAGTCCTAAACATGGCTTCTCCACATACTCTTGTACTTCTATATATGTAAGACATTTTTTGTAACAAACGATGTTTGCCATTTTTTTCTCCTTTCAGCCATTCTGTTGCGTCCGTGGACCAAGGTGTTTATATCACAGATATAATAATGCACACAATTTGGGGGGATGGAATATAAAAATCTTTCCATAACTCTCTCCCGTTACAATTGTTAGCATTTTAAATCATTGGCAATTTTCACCAAGGAGGATCATGCATGTAAACATCTTACTTCAGACACAGGACACATCAATTATTCTCTAGAGAAAAATTTTACAAATATTTTTGTATAGTCGAATGAATAAATTAGATGATGTGCGTGGTCTTTTGTTGGGGAAAATGACTAAGGTAATTTTAATGACCTTATTTATTGTGCCTTTTGTTATACCTTATACGATCCACTATTCGGAAAAAGTTGCCCAAGACTGGTTTAAATATTGGCTAGTAACGTAGTTTCTGATAGCCGTATTAATTGTAAAACAAGGGAGATAATTTATATATTCAACTAGACTTCTGTAACTGAATAGGGCATAAGTGACTATTAATAGTACCGAACTCTAAAGTATAACTTTAAGTCGTGCATAGCAGTTGAGATTTTCAGTACCATCGATTTGTTAGGGTCGCACATTATCTCCTGACTTTAATTCAGGAGATAATGTACATTTTTTTTTTTTTTTTTTTTTTTTTTTTTTTGCAAAAACCAGGAAAGTAATGCTTTTTACTTACAAATTATGCTCTCCCACCTCGTTATAACACTTTAAGTCTTTGTACTAAATCTTGCGCTCTTTTTAAGATGAAGAATTATTCCTTGGTTTCTTCAAACAAATGGAAAAACTCCCTGAAAACCTTATCCTTGATGATAAAACCGAAAAAAGGTAAGAGTGCAAATTCCTTCATTCTAATTGTTCTTAACTCGTAAAATATCTAGTTATCCCCCTTTAAACGCATACAGAACTTTACTTGATTTGATGAACGTTTCACAATAGAATTATTGCAAATCGGCCGTAAAGTAATTGCAATGTTTAAGATTAAAGAAAATCTGACTATATTAATCCTACATTGAAATTGCCAAACTTCCAATATTGGAAGTTTAGAATGTTTTATTAAGTCGTAAAAACACGAAACCGAAAACTTATGGACCAAACTTGACTTTCAGAAAGTAAGGGCGGCAACTTGGTCTTCAACAAACTCTGGATTTGTTCCCCCGTAGGAAGTTAGTATTTAACGTAAGCTTTAAATATCTTGAGTTTAGAGAATTTTTTTTTTTTTTTTTTTTTTACTGTGACTAAGCAAATGAAATTAAGTAAAAGGGGTTTATTTCCAGTGACTTGTGTTTTGATAGTCTGCTTGTATATTAGTCATGGGAGTTCATTCAGGGTATAACACTAATAGGAACAGATATGGAGAATGTCAAGTGAGATTGGGCTGGTGGGGGATATATTCTGCAAATTATTAATCATCAGGAGTTGGTCACTGCTGGTTTAGTCATTGGCCTGGATAAGTTGCCACATTGATAAGTTTCCCTGTTGTGTGTGTGTGTGTGGGGGGGGGTCTATCACTGAGCTGGATATGATTTTTTTGAAATTTTTTGCTTTATAGTGAGGCTCAAATAGCTGCTTTGAAACCATGTGGACTTTCATTGTTTTATGACCCTCATATTTTGAAAGTGGGTGCTCAGAGCTGGATAAAATTAAGGTCTTTTGGTTTTGTATATTTTTTTTATGGGCTATGGATGTCAAATGAAGCATATCCATTTAAGTTAAAGAATTAGTTCAGACAAGATATGGTATTCTTTATAGGCCTGACCTTTTGTATGTTTAATAGGTTTAAATGTTTTACTCTAAATTTAGACTATTGCTAGTAAGATTTATCCTCATTGGGTACCAATTATGGTTCTGCATTACATTTAGCAAATGTGCTAATTGAAGACTTTGGTTTGTCAATGCTATTACTGGGTCTATTAACTTTAATTGTATTTTCCAAATTTTTTTAAAAATTTTTTTTTTTTTTTTTTTTTTTCCATAAAATTGGTCTGGAGTTGTGATCAATGTCTCTGTGTATATTAATAAAATTCACTTAATGGTCAAACCCTTGCTGCCTAAGTGTAAAACTGGTAACATGTGCCATTAGTATATGCTACAAGTAATGTGGGAATAAGACGTCAAACACTAATTATCAATGTATCTGTTTCCTGTCCCACTTGTAGTGGGGGGTGGGGAAGGAGGGTAAATTTGAGTGATTACTTAGTCTTTTTAATAATCTATACAAATATCTGCATGTAGACAACTAGTTCCTGAGCAAAATAAACCATTTAATCAGTTCCTTTTGTTTCTACATTTCTTAGATTGAAGTCCTTTGAAGCCTTTCATGTGAGCCACTTGGATACTGTTTGTCTTGTTTCAAATTTTTCCCCTTCGAAGAGATTTCAATTTCACTCTTATGCTAAACACATGAAATTTTTAAGATGAAGATTGAGCAAAAAGCATTTTATATAATACCGGGAGTAATTAATAAATCATGGATACCATTGAATGTAAATTTAAAGAGCTGAATAAATAGTTCATTGGCACCTCTTAGTTTTCAATTCTTTGTTTTATTGAATATAAATACATTTTCAAGACTTGTTTCATTTTAATCTCTTAATTTAATAGCCATCCTGTTATGACAGCAAGGGTACTTTAAGATTACACCTTAGTGTATGAATCATTGTGATTGACTTAAGAATTTACTTTTAAATTTCAAATCCTGCCTCAAATCTAAAAGCTAATTTAAATCTAATTATGAATTACTTTATTGTAGTTTCCAATTAAGGCTGAATTGCAATAACTTACAAAAATGAAACTTACACAATCTTCAACTTTTTTTCATTTTTAGCCTGAGCACTGTCATTACCTGTGATGGAAGTGTCATAGACTTTATAAATACAACCTACAACTTTGGTAGTATGAAATTCAACACTGTACCCTATGCCTTTTTATATGATGAAAGATACCATAACAGCTTGATTACTGCCAGAAACACTCTCAATATAAATATTGAATATGAGACAGGTAATGTCTTTTCTACACCCCCCCCAACCATAGTCCAGAGTTTATGCTTACAATTAAATTTCTCTTGTTTGTGACTCTCTCCTTCATATAGTTATTTACCAATCAACTACTCAATGTCACCTTTTTATATTCTGACAATTTTAAAGTTTTTATTGCACAAATATTTTGTGGGTACAATTTTTTTACTCTGATCAGCAGAAACAAGCATTTAATTGTATTCAAAGTTAAGCTAATTCCAATTACTGAAATTAAGAATTGATTGCATGTAATATTTCAAAACAAACTTGTTTTTCTTTATTTTTAACTTTATGTAGCCATGTTTTTAAGGAATTTCTTTTCCATTTAAATTAAAGTTTTTTTAAACCTACTTCAGCATCTATACCTTTTTATTTCCTCTTGTTACAAAAACAGTCTTGATGTATTCTAATATAAATAAGTTAAATAGTTTACTTCCCCATTATTTTTTTTCCTTCTGGTATCTCATGTACCATATTAACTAATTTATGAATTAATGCTTCCTTTCAGGAATCTGTCAGGCTGGTGGATTTGTATTAAAATTTCTACCAAAGCAAATCTCTGAAACACCAACTAAAGAGAATCTGCTCAACATATTGGTGACATACTTTTTGTTATATGATATATCTCAGCAAACAGAAGCTTATGTAATAATCTATACTGGCTGCAATCAAAATGAAACTCAACATTATATAGGAGTTTGCCTACTTGCTGGTAAGAAGTCTTTTTTTTAAAATGTCTATATTTGACATGTTAATGTTGTGGCATTCTGGACAACTGAGTAACAGTGAATAAGACAGTCTTCTGAAGCAACCATGACCTGATTAACTCTGACTGCCAGCAGCTGCAGGCACTGTACTTTATGGAGATGTGATTGGTCTCTTTAAAAAGTTATAAAAGAATCTCTATTTATTAATGCATCACAAAATTATAGATACGGGATTCAGATGAAGTACTTTTCTAAAATTTCTGGGCCATATTTTTGTGTATTATGGATTTTTCCTTTTTGTTATAGAAGGGTTTGCCAATGTACTGCTTCTATGAGAAGCAAGACTAGATGAAATTGTAATAGAAGCTGGCTGCTTTAGATATCAATTGATAAAATTAAACAAACAAAAGGACAGTGGTAAGTTCAGGTTAATTTTCATAGTGCTGCCTAAGAAGCCAGGTGCAAATAAATGAACCACATAACACAACTTGTCTGAATTCTGTTGAGAGTATGTAGCAGAATTAAACTGGAAATAGGACAAGAACAGTGCAGTTTCACTAAAAACACTGGAACAAGTAATGCAATATTTATGCCCAGAATATCAGTAATGCAAAAATTTTTTATAGATTATGCAAAAGCACTTGACAAAGCATGTTGCAAAGAACTGTTTGAACTGCTAGGTAAGCTTTATCTTCTTGAGAAAGTTGTTAGAATAATCCAAAATCTATACTGAAAGGTGTACAAGATGTCTTCTCACTGGACTTGTTTAACCTTTACAGTGTGGTGATCCTGAAAGAATTAGTCATACACTATTTTATATTAGTAGCCACAAAGTAAACAATGATACAGTATTGATAGCATATATAGAAAGGAAACAACAGGAACTCTTACAAAAGGTAGTAAAGGAAAATTTGATTGTAAGACAGAATGTATAGTTGTAACAGCCAAGATGCAAACTAAAAATTGGAGACTCCAAAATCAAACCAGTATAAATATTCAAATATCTAGGAAGTGTTTTAAAAGGATAGAAAATGTGATGCTGAAAAATGTCTTCTGAAAGTTGAGCAGTTTTAAGAAAAAAAAATCAGTTAGAAAAATACTGAAGTTTTATGTAATCAGTCCTCCTATATGACTGTTAATGTCAGTCTTTTCACTGAAGACTTGATGCAACAAATGTGGTTCTACAGAGAAACATGACTGCGTGTGTGAGCAACAACTAAGTTTTAGAATAAATAGAAACAAAAAGGATTGTTCAGTTATGTTCCATGCATGATACATGTTTAGGTGATCATATCTTTTGATATGATTGAGGCAGATTTTTTTTTTCTGCAGTAGGTTGCCATTTCTTTCTGTGGTAGACCAGTGGCCATCCAAGGCTATAAAACACAGCCTGTCCTATTTACCCATAGCTGGGGGAGAAGAGGATTCATGCCTTTCCTAAGGGTATTAGCTCATAAGTGAGTGTAATGGATTCGACTAGAATTTGAATTCGGCTCTCCGATTCCCCAATCGAAGCCGCTATCCATTACTCCACTATGCCTACTCAGATACTGGCACATAATGATGAAAGAACTTGATATAGTGAATTACCTACTTAACAAGATTGTGTAAATGGTTGACAGAACAGTGATTAGAAAAGAGCAAAAAGACCTTTAAGATTTATAAAGGACGGGAAGTTGTGGCAATCTATGATTGCTCATGTCCCAAAGGAATATGGTGCACATAACTGATCAATCTATAGAAAAATTTGTCAAAGATGCAGTCATTCCTCTGTTGAATCTTTCTTTCATACATATAAAATGCATATGTATACATATCTACACTATGCATCAGGCTGTCAAAGGTATTCCTTTCAGAATAAATATTTGTGAAATGAAAACTTTATTTGGTTGAATCTTTAAATGCTAAGACAGTATGATTTTAATTCACATGTGCTTCTAGGCACGTCAACTTTCCTGACTGGTCATGTGCCAGTAAACTTCAACAAGTAATGTATTGGTTAAAACAAGTAGAAAAATTTAAATATCTTGGATGTGTTAGTATTAGATGGAAAGTGCAATACTGAAATCCAAAGGTGCACTGGGATAGCTAAAGATGTCTTTTTTTTTTTTTTTTTTTTTTTTTTTAGCTAAACTTAATTAGAAACAAGTACTTATGTTGCAGTGAATGTAGGTGGGATATAAAAAAAACAAAAAATGGAGAATTGAAGCAACAAATGTGGTTCTACAGAAGGAATAAGTATTAAGTAATGTTTTTATTTTAGCATTAAATGCTAAATACTGTTGTAGATATATTAATAGCATTTTGTAATTTCATGAACTTTTTTTTTTTTTTTTTTTTTTTTTTTTTTATATATATAGATAAATACAAATTTGTTCAAAAGCAAATCAAAGTTCCTAGAAAGCTACAAATGGAAGATGTTTCAAAAGTGTTTCCTTACATAATTTCCCATTATTTGCTGACTGAAGTTCTGTCACTGAACAAGAAAAAAACTCTTGTGATCCATCCACAATATGGTGAATAAAATTTTTTAACTTTTTTCTAATATTTCTACACAACTAATAGACAAAACTGTTGCTATTGGTAACTTTTCAGTGGTAGATTTAATGTTAAGGATAAACTTTTTTTTTTTTTTTTTTTTTTTTTTTTTTAAACTAGTTTCTTAAAACTGCATCTAGTCAGCAGCTACTACCTCTGCTAACATTGTCAAACCAATTCACCAAACTTCTAGAAAGGTTCAAATTTTGGTCTAGTATGTTGCTCAATTAGGAAAAGCATGTCTTTCATTTCTCCTTTTTAAAAAAAAAAAAAAAACTGATAGGCTATATTACTATTTTAGCATGAATTCTCACCTATCCAGGATAGTATTAATTCTCTTTAAGCATTCATGTCATAATTCTTTAAAGTAACATGAAATGATAGTCTTCTAATAGATTTATCTTCATATTTATTCCTTAGACTCACTGTCCATGTTCCTAGCAATGGTTGCCAAAGACCTGTGTCAACAGGTCTTCGTTTGTTGTTGGGGTGAAGAGATTGCAAGTGACCTTCAAGCAATTATACCTGAAGTGACTGTACTTTCAGCACAAAACACAAACTATGTGCTATCTTTGTCAAAGGGACGAGGATTTGATGCAGCTATTAAGCTACGGGGTTCAGGTAAGTCCATTAATTCTCTTGTACTCTTGCCATGGATTAAACTCTAAGGACTCTAATCTATTTCCTGTATGTTACTTCTTGCCTATTCACTCAAGAGACCTTAATAGTATTACTAATGTTTGGAAAAGTATTGAATTATCTGAAATGTTTCATTAAATTTTTTTTTTTTTTTTTTTTTTTACAAGCTTATTGTAAACTAGTAGGTATAACGAAAATGAAGGGAATGGATTACCACCAACACTGTTTACATTCAATTTGATAATATCTAGTACCAACTCCCTGCAGAGTTTTTTTTTAACAATGTGAATGCCTTATTTATGGATGTATATACATAAACATGTGACATTATCGGCTACAAGCAGATGAGCTCACCTGGGTGGGGGAAATTCTCTGGTTAACATTTAACACTACTGGAGTGTTCCGATCTGGATACACTTCAACCCACTGGTTGATAGAAATCCACATCCATTACAATTTTAAGTGGATATTAAAACTACACCGAAAGTAACTGCTGTCTGGTCAGTCATGTCATTTTATTTTTTCTATTTTACTTTATATGAAGCAATTTCAGATGGTCAAGATGGAATGTTTACTTCAGGCTTAAATATGCTTTGGATAATAATTTTTCACTTGAAGATAATGACTAGAGGAAGTGTTGCATGTTGCCTAAAAAAAAAAAATTTCTGGAGATTTGATTTCTCCATAAAATAAAGCTATATAGCCACTTCTTGATGTTTGGTCTCCAGCAGAAACTGAATAATTCCCCACCCTCTTCAAGGGGATGATCTCTTTAAATAAATTCACCTAAAATTTGAAGTTGAAGAGCTTTTTACTATAGTTGAGATGGGTAGCTTTTAGTTAAGGTTTAGACCACCCTTTGTTGTAGTCCCCAGAAAGGGATTGGTCAACTGGATCAAGTCTCTACCCCAAAGAGTAGTAACAGGCTGTTCCTACGGAAGAGGTGGTATCTATGAGTGGAAGTCGGATGCCAAAGAAGGCAAGTTGGAGTTTGATGGGTGGATTAACCCTCTCACTGCCACTAAGGTACTGGATATTTGTCCAAAATTGGAAAATCTCCTTTGAGACAAAGGAATAGTTGATATTCCTATGCCAGTCAGAACCCAATCTCCCCCCACCACCACCCAGTTTCGGACAAAGTATTTAAACCAGGCATTTTGAGGCTTTCCAAGAACAGGGCTGCAGGTTGAGCAGAGTAGAACTGCAGGCTGGACAGAACAGATCAGCATACTCAGAGCAGTTCAGTCCACAGAAGAACTGTGAAAATATCATGCTGATTTGAATGAGAATGTGCTTAAGAACTGAATAGGCTACCTCCTGAACTCATGATTGTGCACCAACCTAAAACAATTATACCCCCAGAGTTAGCAGCTAAGAGCCCAAGTCTTAAGGTATAATTGTCCGTCACTACCGCATTTTTATTTTTCTATCTCTCCTTTTGTCTATAATTTGGAGAACTTTGTAACTCGGCTTTAACCTCACTTGGGATTTTTTTTTTTTTTTTTTTTTTTGTTGGTCAATTGCTGAGAAAGAAGTAAAGTGGAGTTTAGAAGAGCAGACTAGGAAGTTTAAAATGAGCAGAGGCCAAGAACAAAGACTATTACTCCTTTTTAAACTAAAAGACAAGATACTTGAACACTATCTTTTTCTTTTTTTTTTCTTTTTTTCTGTACATTCCCCCTCCCAACTATAGAGAAAACATCTAGAAAACTCCTAAAATATTTAATCTTATACTGTTGCCCAGGAATCTTCAATATGTATCTTACTATAAGCTCATCAAAGTATAGAAGTCATCTGGATATCATTAACAGATGACTTCTTGCTGTCTATTGAGATATAACTAGATTTTAACATTGTATATTTGTCACAATGCTACTTTCTTTTCTTAGATCTCAGCAAGTCATTCTTGTCATTGGCTGATCATGGTCACATGGTACTCTGTGGTAAACCAAATCTCTTTGAAGATCTGAAACTTGGTATTTTTCTCAACAATATCACTTTCAAAGTAACAGAACCATTAAATGCTGTCATCAGCTTTCTTTCAAGTCATGAATCTTGGGAAGAAAAACTGATGGCAGTAATTTCTTCTGAGAGGTTCAATGAGGTAAGTAAATTTTGTACCATATCATTATAGCTCAAGTTGAACTTCTAGTCCCAGTGGGACAAGATCTTGTATTCATCTGGATTATGAAACTGCAAAGGATTGGTTGGGTGGGGGTAGTCAGTATGCCTCCCTTTACAGGGGTTGATAAAATAGATAACTAAAAGTAAACCTTCCAACTTATGAGGCAGGAGTACCTCCCCTTTCCCTCTTTCCATGCACTGGAACTAGTCTATGAAAATCCAATCTGAATTGTTGATCTAATCTCTGCTGCTGGCATTCAGTTCCTGTAAAAGACTGAGATGCTCTTAAGAACTAGTCACTCAAAATTCATAAAGCTTGTACTTGGTCAAGCATGTTGAGTCAACATTAATCTATATTCAACATGAATATAAATATTCAAAATACAGCAGGTTTAATTTACTATTGTTTGAATTATTTTAAACATCCTCGTTTATTTAAGACATTTCCTGCTGACAATTCAAAATGCTCAACTCTTGTGATTAAAGTTTAAATTAATACTTTGTCTATCACTTTACAATTGCCTTGGATGATATCCTTTTACTTTGCTTGATGGTATGAACTCTCAAACTGACATGCTTGAAAAAGGTTGAAAGCTGCATTTAAACCTGGTTTGTATCAATACTATATGATTAAGCTTTACCTTTTTTTTTTTTTTTTTTTTTTTTTTTTTGAAACATTAAAAAATATCCTTGTAATTTTAACACTAGCTGCTACCACTAAGTAGCAAGGTCTCTAAGCTTGCTTATGCTGATCTCTGTGGACCTTTATACTTAAGTGCTTCTTGGGCTTTTACTGAAGCTTTAGTTCATAATAGTTACACTAACATCTTATATTGTAAGTTGCTTTGAATTACTAGCTGCCATTACTTGAAAAATTATCCCTTATTATAGTTAAATTTTTTTGCTTGATGTCTAACTTTAAAAATTTTATACAGCTAATGCGGTCTTTATGTAATTTATTCTGAATATCCATTTAAGATTAAACTATGCATAAGTTTAAATGATCACTTATAATATTTCAGTATGGATATTTTTATTGATCCAACAGATTTTATTTTAAATATTCTTTTACTGGATACCCTTATTTGAGTAGAATATACTATTTTATAAATGGAGCTTGATATGGATATCAACTAAAAAATGATTAGTTATAAAATGAAGTAAATGTATAATGAACCTGTGACTCTAAGATAATCAAACTGAAAGCTTTTATGGTTAACTATTGAACAAATTGTCTAAACATTAACTTGGCTTATTGATTACATGATTATATTTCAGCTATGGGAGAAAGATTTCTTAAAAGAGCCAAGTTCTGTTTATACAGTTCTTCAGAATTCTGAACTGAACAAGATAAGGCTTTCAACTCTAATTCCTTACCTGAACTTGAAAACTGTGGCTCTGCCTTCTCCTCCTCTATCAACTGATGATGAAAAATTTATAAATAATGTGGTTGTTACTCTAGATAATATCTTAAAGGTAAGTTTCTTTGTCTGGGCTACCCCTATTTCAAAGACTGTCAAAACTTCTTGGCACTATTTTATGATGACTACTTGGAAAGTATCCAGTACATATTTCCTTTTCTTGCTAAGAATTGGTTGGCACCAACTGGAATGAACCTTGTTGCATATGTCTGAACCTGTACTCTCTTAAATATTAGTCTTTGTAAGATGCCATTGAATTCTGCTTGTGTATTCCTTGACTTCTATTCACAACAAATATAAATGAATCTTCCACAAATCTGGTAACTATTAAAATGACTCTTGAGGATAACTCAGAAGGTAGATAACTTTGTTTTCAATGTATCCATTGGAAGAAATTCATTCTGGATTGCCTTCAGCAAGCAGAAAACACAACTGCAAGAATTACATCTAGGGATTCCTTGAATTACCAGAATGTATTTATCTGCTCTGAATCTTCATTTGCCCATTCCTGATTTGTCACCTGGATCTGTCAGCCACAGCACAACCAAAGTTCAGATTTATCTCTCTGCAACTTAACCTTACCAATCCCATTTCCAGAATAAAGGACTTTAGGCCCTGGATCATACTAAGAATGCAAAGAGGCAACTGATAGAAGTCCTAAAGGATAATGCAAACTTATCCAACATTGTTTGGATGATTGAATATTTTTTTAGTTACTGTCTCGGCCAATCCCTTCTAAAGCTGTCATCAATAGTAATCCATCAGAACTAAAAGTATTTCCTTCCTAAAGAAATTGAACTTGTTATTCACCAAGTGTACAGTGGAGGTGGGGGGGACATAGTGAGGATTGAACTGACTACTAATCTAAAAATTGGCTTTCTGACTTTTACTACAATGAGGTACCTTTTGGCAATTACCAAAGTGGCACTAGAAATTGTCCATTCTAGTACTTATTAGAGATGGGTGAACCTTTTAGATTTGCCAAGTCATTTTTGACATTTTGAAATTTTTCATAAACGTAAATGGGTCACTCGTGCTTGTTTTTCTTTCTTTTTGCTGCATCTTGCTAATGTTTTAATTTGAGGTTGATATTCTGTTGTCTTCAGTTGAAAGCATGCAGCACTCTTATCCATATCAACATAATTCCTGGTGGTTGTTTGTTTTTTTTTTTTTTTTTTTTTTTTTTTTTTTTTTCATGGTGAGCCATATTTCATGACCTCATTTCACTGACAATTGTTGGGTCAGTTCATAACTTGTGGTTCACAATTTTTGTATTACTGTTTCCAGAGTCTAGAAAACTCAGTTGAATATATAAATTGCACAAAGGAGACAATCTCTTAACACCAGTTTCCTGCAGCATTTCACCCATTACAAGATTACATTGTACTTGGTGTCCTTCAGAGAAAATGGGTGCAGTGTTGATCTCCTGGGTGCATATCTACACTGCACTTGGGTTGCAGCACATGAAAGCTGCATGACAGATATAAAACTTACCCACTAGTAAGAGATAAATTCTGACATTGCAAATGAGAATATAAGGCCCACTTCTTAGAATGATTGGCTTGCAGCTATTTATACATGCTGGCTGACAGTAATTAAGTCAGTCTAGCAAAATGTTAAATATGAAATTAGGTCTTCTTTCATTAAGCAGCTCAACTTATTCATTCCATTCAGTTATGTGCCATGCATGATACACACTTAGGTGATCATGTATCTTTCAATACGTGACTGATGAGGCAAATTTTTTCCTGCAGTAGGTTGCTATTTTTTCTGTGGTAGATCTATTGCCATCCAAGGCTATAGAACCTGGTCTGTCCTATTCCCCCTAGCTGGGGAAGAGGTTTCATACTTCCCAAGGGTATTGGCACATAAGCAAATATAATGGATTTTCCTGAAATTTGCACTCTGCTCTGATTCCTCAATCCAAGCTGCTAACCATTACATTTGCTTAAAGAAAAGTATTAAAATCAGTACTATGCTGTTTTAATATTTCAGCAGGAAGTTGGATTTGAACATCCAAGTAATAGATGTTAACTCTTAAATTCTGCAGATTGTTTTGAAAGTGGAAGGTATGAAAGGAAGTCTCTTGAAGGTAATTCAAATGCCATTATCTTAGATAGGCTAATCATGGTTAAAATTAGGTTTGTGTAAGTGAAACCTGTAGGTCTCATCAAATACAACCTTTGAACCTTATTGAACAGGCAGTACTTCATGGTGCTGACATGTCACTCTCCTTTGAACAAAATGTTACAAGAAAAAAAACCCCTTCCCAACCAACAATATGGAAAAGAGCAATAACAGATACTAAACCTGAGAAAGCACTTTCCTGAAAAATTTAAGATTTTATAAATTTCAATCAACAGTAGCACTGTCAAATGTTTCCTTATAGGAAACCTCTAATATTAGCATTACTTTTTGTTTGTAGTAAGTGATACAACTCTTAAAAAAACCTGGCAAACCTTAAATGCAAATGAGTCTTAGATAAGAGTACATTTAGCATCTAATTTCTTAGAAATGTTGGAATTTTTTTTGTTATATCTTTTACATAGTTTAATGTGAATCAAATACTTCTCTGGTATTAATATAGCAATACTGAATTTCTTTGATAAATATAAATTTCTAAGTAAAACTCTTTTCCAGAAAATCTTCCGTGTGCAATCTGAGGATGTTTTTGAATCCTTTCAAACAACTGAGCATAAATCAGTTTCTGATGTGACCATTTTAAGTCCCGTGTTTGCAACATGGGATAGTTCAACACCAGAAAGCTCTCCAGTCCAGTATATAAAGTCTCCAAAGCTTTCCATAAAGAAATCTGCTCCCTGTCGAACTCTTTCTACTTCATTAGATAGAATTTCTCGAGAAAATGAGTCTCTTTTTGTCTTGACTCCACCAAGGAACGTCTCCTCTTCAAAAATAAAAGAATTTATAAAGGCTGAAGAAGTTCTCATACCATTGAATTCTATCAAAACTGCAGACTGTCCCCTTATCATTGTTCATCCAATTACAGGTAAGCTTTCTGACTCTGAGCTTTCTAGAAAACATTATCAAGAACTTTGTTTCTTTCAAATGGGTATTGGACAGTTTTGAAGGCAACAAATCTAAGAATGTAATATTCTGAAGGATTCAATCATTAATTTTAACTTATTTATTTTATTGCTTTTTATCAAACTTGCTCAATGTCAATCAAAACAGCAATTCATTTCCGATTGTGAAAACTCATTACTGCCGTAGATGGATATTTTTTTTTTTTTTTTTTTTTAATAGTGTGTCAAAGAATCAATATATTCTAAGCTAATGATTGAGACTGACTCGTTTTAAAACTCTTATGACAATAGTTCTTGTAACAAAGGAGCAATTATCTCTAGTAAGAATTAGATGCAGGAGTTGGTTAACTAATTTCAGAGTTAATTCTATTGCAAGTTTTGTACACTTAAAACACTGATCTGCTTGTGTGCTAGAACATGTTTCATTTAACACAGGACTGGAATTAATGCCATATGGACATTTTCTGAAAAATGATTGTGACTTGTGAATTTTTTTTAGTAAAACTCATTTTTTATTTGAAGCTTATTTTTTGAGAGAAAATGCTGTACAAATGGCAAGAGACACACTTCATGGAGATGGTGCCATATCTAAGACTGTTAAGTAGTTTGCTAGGTTCACAAGTAGAAATTTTGATCTGGAAGACTAAGAACATTGTCAGGCTTGCAATCATTGATGACCAAATAAACCCTGGGTTAAACAATCCCGGTCAAACATGGGAGATTGCTGAGATACTCAATGTCATGAAAGTTGTAAGGCATTTGGAAACCCTTTGCTATGATGTTTGCCAAATGATTATCAAAAATAAAATTAATGGATCACATTTCCATCTGTGACTGTTAAAATGCAACATTTTATCTCCTCAAACTGATAAAAATGGATTGTTTTACAATGTAGAGAAAATGGTTTTGAAAAATTAGTGTTAACCACTGACAAGTGGATTAGAAGAGCATTATACATTAAACTACATCCAGATATTTGACTGCAGACAAATAAGTGAGCCAATTAAAGATGCCAAGCAATGAAGCATTTAGAATTTCCACTTGGATTTGTCTTCCTTCAGGCATTCTCTGCATACTAATCGGAAATTAGTACAGCTTTTACTGGATGTCCTAGTACACCTGCTATACTTACCTGACCTTGGATTATCACTTGTCTTAATCCCTATAAAATTGTCTTAATGGGATAACTTCAATTCTCTGTAATTTCTGTAAAAACAAAAAATACAAAACTGTTCATCAATTCTTGACTTACCAACTTCAAGTCATGAAGATGCTTCACAAATGGCAAAAGGTAGAAAAACAAAATGGCATGTATAAAGTGTCAGAAAAGTAATGACTGGTGTCACAATTATTTCGATTCCAAACAAGCTAGATGGTTTTCTCTTCAAAATTATCTTCCTCAAGTCTAATGCACTTTTCCATCCTTCTCTGCCATGCTTCTATGCATTACTGGAAATAATCTTCTTGGATACCCCTCGGCTCTGTCATTACAATCCTCTTGATAGTATCTACATGTTCAAAACGGGCCCCTTGATGACCCCCCCCCCTTGTGCAGGCCTCTGATCTGGAGGTTTTGGGGAGTGTGGAGCCACCTCTTAGTTGCTGGTGTTCCCAGGTCCACCCTGACCCGGGGTGGTAGCACCTGTTAGGGTCCCAGCTATGGGAAAATAGTTAACTATTACCAGCAATACTTTTTGAAAAAAAAATTACCAGCAATAAAAATGTCGGCATTGGGTAGCCCATTGAGGTTGATGTGTCGTGACAAAATAAACCAAACCAATCTAAACCAAAGAATACATGCTCCATTCATAGAAATCTATCCTAAAAATGTTGTTGGCATTAAATAACCCATTGAGGTTGATATGCTGTTGAACAAAATACCCCTCTCCCTGTGCTTGAGGAAAAGAAGTCTCATGGAGCAAGATCAGGTGAATAGAGGTTGTTCTGGTATAGTGAAGTTCTTGGCTAGGAATAGCTGGATGCTTAGGACATTGTGAACAGCTGCATTGTCATGGTGAAGTGGCCACAAGTGTGGAAAAATGCAGTGGTTTCAGAAAGCTAATCTTAGTTCTATGCTCTCAATATATACTGCTTATTTCTCTTTTTGCCCATAGTTCACACAGCACACACAGTCCGTTACTTTTCATACAGGCCTTGTCTGTAGCTGAATATGGACAAATATCTAAATATTGTCTTTTAGTTCAGAACTTCTGGTGCTTCAATCAATTGGCTCTGGAACTTGATTCCACATTAGTTCTTTTTAGTCTTTTCACTTTATCACTAACAATGAAATATTCATTGTAAGCAGAATTGTATGTCTTATTTTAAAATGCAAATTCAGATGACTTTAAAGTACAACTGCATAAATTTTAAGCAAAGAACCTGTTTATAACTTCCATAAAATTTTGACTTACTAAGATTTAAATTAATGTAGGTTAGCTAAAATGTTAAGGAACTGCACTTTCAAACTTGTCGCTTAAAAACTCTTCCATTCTAAAGTAGAGTACATGTTAGCATTTAACTCTTTGAATACTAAAATTTGGCAAAAGCATAGTGTTCTAATATTATCTATTTCTGCATTGTATTGAAAGGTGTCATTTCTTTGCTAAGAAAATTGGGTACTATGCTGTCAGCTCCATGTTATGGTATACAAATGACTGAATTGACACCCAGAAATTCTGTATCAGAGATGGCCAGGTTAGTTCACAAACATCTTTATCATAATTATAATTAATAATATCCAAAACTTCCTAAAGAACACATTTATTTCAATGTCTTTTTCCAGTTTCTATATTCAAGCATTGCTTGCAAAGTTTCCAGAAGGTCCTTACAGACTTGCAGGATATTCTTTTGGTGCTTGTGTAGCATTGGAAATGGCTTTACAAATGCAATCGCATCTAAAGGTAAGAATATTTGTCCATTTTAAACTTTAAATTGTTACTAATCATTTGAATTGATAGTATTAGCTCTATTGTTATTCTGGGGCTATGTAAAAGTCCATGGACTGATCTGAAATTTGATCTTAAATTACTGATATTGGATCAATATTAATCACTGAAGATTTGTCTAATGACTCTTTAATTAGGACATTAAAATTTAGATGTATCTTCATGCTAAACCAGAACTTTTTTTCAGTATAAACTTGTACTGTAAGGTGACTTATTGAAACGCACTGGTTCCCATAAATTCCAAAGTTAAACATCAAACCTGTTTAGTACCTAGGTGGGTGACAGCTTGGAATATAGGGTGGTATGATCAATAATGGCTCCAAATTAATTGGTGAGCAGAGTTCCAATTCCAGTTAGGTTCATTATATTCACATGTGCAAATACACTTCGGAGAGATATGAATCCACCTCTTCTCTCTCAACCTATGGGTTAATTAGATAATGGTTTTAGTGATAAGTCTTACTAAAGAAAAAACTGCATGCAAAATATTCAGATTTCTGCATTAAATAACCAATAGACATTAGGTTGCTAAACAAAAAACAAGTTGTACTGTTGTTAATGGCTTCAAATATTCATAACAAGCAAGAAAAGGCTGAAGGAATGATTGATGTGGATGGTAACAGGCTATCATGATGTAATTTAAAATGTTAGCTTGGTTTATATTTTTATATAGTGATTTAATTTAGCTTGGCATTTGATTGCTTTTTAATCCAACTTAGTCTTCTTGCAGTTTTAGTGTTGCTTTCACTTTTAGTATTTTAAATACTTCAACCTTACTAATTTTAAGTTTGGGGATTTAATTGTCCAACTCTTTTCTCTTTGAGAGAATTCTCTCAAAAGTGAAATTTTATTTTCAATGTTAGCATTGTTCTAAATTTTAACTAATAGAAAATTTCAAACTAACACCAAACTAAATATTTGGTTTTAATGGTAGACTAATAGACATTAATGCCAACTTTCTCAAAGGATGAGCACTTAATGGGTTGTTAGCAGAAACCTATAACAAAACTGGATTTTATAGAAAGCATTTAATGAGTTAACTATAAGGAATTATGGGTATTTTTTCTTGCTTGAAATTCTACTCTAGAAACCTGTATAAATTTCTTTGTATAAATTTTCTTTCAGGTTGAGTTACTGCTGATGTTGGATGGCTCTCCTAAATATGTTAACAACCACTGTGAATATATCAAAGAAGAAATATCTGAAATCACTGCTAGTAAATCAGTAAGTCTCTTGTATACTACTGACAATATTACCATCTTGTAAGGGTTCTCACAGAACTGACATTTGTACTGTTTGAATTTACTTATTGATAATCTATCCTTGTTAGAATAACTGTCACATCTTGGCCAATTGAAGGAGGATTAAACTTGCTAATTTTCTTTTTCTCTACATGGTTAAACTGAAAGAAAATACTTTAATATGAAAATGTAATGAAAATTGAATAACAAACTTTATCTACAGAATCAAATATAATTAAGATGACACCTTATCTACAAGTAACAGCTATTCTTCAAAAACTGAACTTTGTGTTCAGCATAGTCCCTGATACTATGATTGAGGATTGGTTTTTGTCTTTTTTTTTTTTTTTTTTTTTTTTCTAGATGGCAAAAAATCAATTAGAAAAGGCTTGAAAGTAATGTTAGCATCTGTGGTTCAGACCAAATTAAGATTAAATTGGTATAATAATTCAAGAAGCAACTGTTTACCTTGTGAATAGTTGGTTGAAGTATCTTTAAATTACATTGGGTTGACCACTTGCAGACAAGGTTAAGAATGGTTGCAGTTTATGCTTAGTGTGTCTGCATGGAAGAACTTTGAAAGGAAAATGATTCCTTCTCAAAAAATAATTTTCAACTTTACTTTTAATTTTACATAAAAAAAATCGGAAATATACTTGTGTACATGGTTGAAAAAGCATTTATTGGCATTGTTGTTAGAAAAACTTGATGCACCATGTGGCTGGGTGAAATTAAGCTGACTGGCCAAGAGGAAGAAATCTCTTGCTAGTAAAGAATTTTTCTACATTCCAGAGCAAAAGAGGGCTTATCTGATCGATTCTTAATCATAAATAGGATGTCTTGGAAGATAAGGTAGTGTGATGTGGGTGGTGTGATATCCCTACAATCTAATGGAACTAATGTAGTTCCATGGTTAGATCTAATGGTCAGCCACTATTCTCTTGATCAATAGGGGTTAAAGTGACAATTGAAAGCTCCTCATAACTGGGAACCCGCAGTTTTCTGTACAGATTAATGCCTTTGCTATACAATTATTTTCTTTTTAGTATGTTAAGTGTATTTTAAGTTATTGGAAAGAATAATAAAATTAAAATAAAAAAAAACAATGAACAAAAACCTACTGTAATATCTGGTTTTGTGGTATGAGATCCAAGTTGGCATATGCATGTATAGCAGTGTAAGAGACTCTAATGAAAACTGGTTAAAATTTAACTTTTTATAATCCAAAATTTGATCACCCAGCTCTCTGGATTACCAGAAAATTCTTATTGGTTAGAAATTGATTTAAAATCTTTCTGGAAGATGTCACTACATGTAGACCAAACTGTCTTTTTTTTTTTTTTTTTTTTTTTTTTTTTTTTCTGTATCAGTTTCTCTTATCAGGCTGCTGCTGCTTCAGATATGTCCATTCTTTTACATAATGGTAATTCACCACACAAGTGTTATACTAACAATTAAGTCTCCTTATTCAGAAAATTTGTAATATAGTGTTAACTATACTGACTCTTGTGATCCTCCCTAGAACTGAAAGTGACATATTTGGCTAACAAATCTCTGATATTCAACTTGTGTTCCTCAGCTTAATGTATGTTCTAAACAGTGGCAGTAGTGGGCTTGGCTCTCTTCTTGCCAAAGTGGATTTAAACTTTAGGTATCAGGGTGAAATTTTTCAATTGTTTGCTGTCACTTTTTATTGATCAATATACTGTCTTAACAAAGTATAGATAAAGAATCTTAATATTTCTTGCCAAATTATAACATCTTAACTCTGTAACAATATTTGGTATGTCATGTCATATCCTTAAACATTTAAAAGCTAGAAATAGGGTCTGGCATCTTTATACATGATCCTGATAATGATTTGAACCTGTACTAACTTCATTCCTTTTTGATATTTTAAATTTTCTTTCCAGAAGGAAGAATTGCAAGAAATTGGCTACATGGTAAGCTTTATAGAAATGTACAAATCAATGGACAAAGAGCTTAGAGCTCTTGTTTATTCTTCACTCCTTCAGCTGAACAGCAAGGAAGACAGGATTGTTTTCCTTTTAGACTATCTACATGGCAAAGCTGTCCAAAGGTCAGTATATTTAGTTTACTTAAGTTTGCTATACATTGGCCTAAAAAGTTTTTAGCCAGGAGAAATAAACTACATCAATTTCAAAATTATGTAATACTAACTCAACATTAAATAACAGTATTTGGACTTAGTATGGCGTAGGTCCTCCAATTGCTAGTTTCATTGCTTTTATTCAATTTTTCATGGATTTGATCAAGTTATCAACAATCGTCTGAGCCATATTTTGCCACACCTTTAGCAATGTTGCTTTAAGGGTTGCCACTGACATGACTTTGGTTGCATGCTCTTGAAGTTTTTGGTTGAGGTGCTCCCAAACGTTCTCTATTGGATTTGTCAGAACTTTGGGCTAGCCATGGCAGTGACTTGATTCCTTGCAATTCCTTCCAGGCTTTTGCTACTTTGTCCATGTGACATGGCACTCCATCTTCTTGAAAAAGATACATTGCCTATCTGATTGGTTTCAAATAGTGTGAGTATTTCTTTAATATTTGACAGTATTTTGGACCATTCAACTGCTTGTCATCTAAACCAGACAGTGCCCCCACACCATTACTCCAACCCCTCCATGTTTACTGGTTGCCTGCAGACAGTGTTCCAAGTCCCATTCTGATTTCTCCAAACAAACCTCTCAATTTCAAATATTGGCAGTATTTACTTCTGATCAAATTAGACTGCCAAAATTCATGATCTTTGCTCTCAAATTCTCTTGCCCAGTCCATACACCTGTTCCTGTTGACTTCTGAAATCAAGGGCGTCTTGCAAATCTTCTTTGATAGCCTAGCTCTTTCAGAGTCTTTCTCACTGCATGTAGTGACATCTTTGATGCTCTGACGATGGTTTCTCATGACTTCCCTCTTCAGTGCCCTTTTCATTCACTCTGACATGATGCTTGGTCTTCCTGAACATTGTTCAACACAACAATGGTCTCTTTCATTATCTTGACAATATTAACTGTTTGAAGATTAACATATAAAAACCTAGCAATTTCTCTATTTGACTGATTCCATCCTATTTGCCCTTGTTGAAATTCACCAATTTCCTTACTTTCTCGAACTTTCATTGCAAAATATAAGTCAACTATCATTCATAGAGTACCTTGATACTAACATGGTATTGTTCAGAGAAAGGTTATTACACAAGCCAAAATTGCTGTAATCAAGGGTGGCTAAAAACTTATTGCTCACTGTATATAAAAACCCAGTCTGGAGATCTACCCTATAAAAAGCAAATGCTTGTATATAAATTGGCTTAATCTCTCAATGGACATAAATTGTTGAAATAACCAGATACAACAAATTCATAAACCAAAGCTTTAATCCAAAAATATGAATTAGTTTTGGTCTGAATTTTGGATATAGCAATTATGAGTTTAATTTCTGGGTTGAGCAGTGTGGACAGGCTTGGACTATGTAGAAGTGGGTGCAAGCAAGAATTGAGCAAGACTAAGAACTAAAGATGTCTCTAGACATAGGCAGTAGAATAAGAACAATATACCTTATAAGTGTATTGGTGTGGGGGGGAGAACAAAGGTTTAGATAAATGTAAAAATACAACCAATGAGAAATCTGTGTAGATGTCTCTCATTGAAATAAAAAAAATTGGGCCTATGTGAAAGGCATCTGCTGAAATGTACAAAAGGAGGATGAGTTGTGACTTGCTGGATAACAGCCTTTGGCAAGCTGTTTCTTGGGAATGGGAGGTAGCTTTCTGACAATGTCTGAACCTGGGCCAAGATTCTGTCAACTGTTGAAAATATCCCATATGAGCCTAAGATGTGAGGTCAGTATTGGGGGCTTCAAAATTGAACAGATGATAGTGTAACACACATCTGAAAGTACTTGGTTACCAGAAGACTTTTCCATTATTCCAAAGTATTAAAACAGTACTGAAATATAGAGGTAATTTCCCAAGATAGCAATTTTGTTACAGATGAACACTTGCAGGGACAAGTTAATTGACAAATGCTTAGAATATCATGGATAAAAAATGAGCAATATTGATGTCTTTAATAGAAGCTGATTGAAATTTCTGGTATACATGAAAGTGGCTTAGAACCTTGAAGGAAAGGTGGTGTGGAAACCTTAATGAGATTCTGTGAATGAGGGACAACAGTATGCTAGAGGGTAGTTATTTAGACCAACAAAACAGTAAGTTGTGGAGAATTACTAGTCCATGTTGTGAACATTGTACATACTGCTTGAATGATGGTAAACATGTTGGTTACCTCCCTTGAACTTGCTCAATAAGAATAATTCTAGGTGTCATTAAATTTTTAAATTTAAAATTGGCGTCCCCCTCTCCTTCATACTGATGTGTAACCACGTCAGGCTAAACCGCACTGTAGTCTGAAGTCCTACAAGCCAAATGCATCACATAAGTTTTCCACTGTCATAGATTTATTCTTTACTTAAAATTTTCTGGTTTTATACACACATACACACATATATATATATATATATATATATACACACACACACACACACACACACACACACACACAATGTCCTTACATAATTAAATAGTAACTGTTAAGACTCTTAAAGACAAATGATGAATACTAAGATAAAAAAAAAAAATGGGTAGGGAGAAATCCCAAGGCTGGTGATAGCTTGACTGTAAATAGGTGTATAACACTGTCCTGGTACCTGTCTTTTAAAGCTTGATATTTTTATTGGCAGCCCTGGGCCAGCAAGGATTAATTGGCTAACAGCATCTTTCAAGACTTTGCATAAGACCAAACAAAGTCCTGATCTTGTGTCTACAACAACAGAAGTAATAAGAGGTACAAAACTGAAGAAATGTTTAAATTACCTTGAAAACTGTAAAATGGGAGAAAATTACAATCCAACACAGAAGTTTAAAGGTAAGTTTCATTTGTTACTCCTAGATTAACTCCCTTTATTAAAAATGTGAAACGGTTCTTATTTGAACTTAAATTGTACAATTGGTTTGAATGTATTTCCTTGTAATAAACAAATGGTAAATAATATTCAAGGATAAGTGTCATTTTCTTAGAATCATAATTTTCACATTTTCAGTGCAAAGTTTCAGTTCTAGAGACCAGTAAATTTTTTTTTCATTTGTAAATTTAAAAATTTGACTTGGTAACCCCCACCCAAATCTTAATTTGACATTATACTGAAATCTATACTGTATAAAATGTACATCACTTGATATTGCCTTAATGGGTGAACAAATCAGCTCCCCCCAATTAAGATGGGTGCATTTTTTTCTTTTTTTTTTTTTTTGGTATCTACCTCATCTTCAACTTATCCACTTTCTAAACAGAACATGATATTTTGAAAGTGGTTTGCAGTAAAACTTTAATTAGATCTCATCTTTGGAACATGTGATGAAAGTTTTGTCACATTGCCACTTCTCAAATTTAAAGTTTTTTTTTTTTTTTTTTTTTGTCTTCATCTGGTCTCAAGAATTCAAATTGAAATGATTTTTCCATTGAAACATTTATCTTGATCATGTTATTCTAACCCAAACTGATGACTTCACTAAAATGTTTAAATTAGCAACTTAATCCTTACTGTTAATGCTATTTGAAATTAAATACTTTTTGAAAAACAAGTATTTAATACCTTTTGTTTGGGGGGGGGGATAAGTATCGATCTATTCTATTATTTTTATTTCCCCCCTTAGGTTCTATTCATTTGTTCCGGATAAAAAAAGAACCAGAGTATTGTCTGCCATTACCAACTGACTATGGCATATCGGAAATATGTAGTGACACCTTGGTACGTTTCTATGATGGCAAGCACAACACTTTTCTCAATGAAGTCTCTCTACATAAAGATATTGAGAAACTTTTCCAATCTCTGAAAGTTACACAGCAGTGAGCCATTTTACTTTTGTTGTTCAGGTTTACAATTGAAATGTTGCTAATTTTGAATTTCTGGTTAATGAAATTTACTTTAAACTTGTTGTAATATTGTTACTGAATAAATTTTTTGAGAAAATATCATTGCTTGTTTTCTTTTTAATATTGCATGCACACTTGTTTGTCTTCCGGAAACTTTTCTAACTCTGAGCTTAAACCTGCCCTGTTTAATTTCAGCCCCACCCCCACCCCAGGGGCCCAGATCTTACGGTAATTTGTTGGTTCAAATTTTATTTTTGCTTGCATGCCTCTGATTGCCTTGTTGAAATATTTTTCTTTCTAGAATCACATTCTCTTCAATAAATGTAGCATCATTAAAAATACTAATTTTAAATTTGAGCCTTTAAATTGTTTTGGTGTTTTTGTTTGTTTGTATATATTTTTGTTTTTTACCTTTTTATTACATAGATATTCTGACCACACACACTAAGATCTCCCTCTATGCATTAGACAAGGGTTAGATTTCAGCTTGACTTACTAATTTAATTCACTTGTGTACCATAACAACCTGGGTGACATTTCAATGTATGCAAAAACTTAGAATTCTATTTTTCACCTCCTTTAAACTTAATTTAATTAACACTAAATATTCTAATTATAATGAACTCTTTAACTTTATAAATTCTAACTAAGTTTTTTTAACTGTTAATCAGTTAACTTGTGTTACATAATTAGTTATCGATAAATTAAAGGATTTTTAACCTGTTTTTGCTCTAAAATCTCAAACTTTCCATAATTCTAAATCGTCATACAAATATCTGACATTCAATGGAAAAATGTTAAGTCACTTTTTCATTAAACTATATTAATGCTATACTAATGAATGTTAGTTTTGATAACAGCTTTTCCTAAAACAAGTGAATCTTCAATGAATTTGAATTTATCAATTATAATAGATAAAATTTAATTGGGCAGATTGTTTTTGTGATAAATTTAAATTTTCACTCTTATTTTAGAAAGTAAATAATAAAAATATGCCATAAAACTAAATACCTGATATGCTTAGCTTAAATATCACTTTCATAAAATCAATTATTCCAGATTCAATATTTGTATTGAAGGTTGTCAGAAAAAGTTCCTAAGAACTGCTTACATCTGAATGAAAAATGATCAAAAGCAAATAGAATACTAATAGTTAATAGACATTACAAAATATATAATGGGTACTATACATGAATTATTTCCTCAATAGCAAAATATTTAATGCATATTATGTTCTGTATTAAATGACTAAGATCCCCTAAATGAAAAACAATTGGATACTTTGCATTTCAACATTTTAACTTGATATAGAATCAAGATTGGAAGGAAAATGAAAGAAGCAGAATATTCAAATGAATAGTGATTAATGAAAGCTGGGCACCATCTGTTAAAAATTACAGCAATAAATTGAAGAGGAAGAATAAAATATAGAATCTTTCAATCACTCAAATTTTAAGAATATTTGAATTGGCTTTTTTGAAAAAATAGTTTTAGAACATGAGTTACTATTACAAAATTGTACATCCTTTCTTTTGAGGTTTGAACATATCAGCAGGTAGTTAAAAATGATAATTTCATTTAAAATTATTATTTATGAAACCACCTCATTTTTTTTTTTTTTTCCATTTTTAGAAAATTTCCATACAAGATAAATTTCTTTTTCCTAAAGAGAAAAAGGAACAAATAAATCCATAAAAGGGAGAGGAAAAGCATAAATTAACCCTATTCTAAAGAATAGAAAGAAAAGGGCAGAAGAGGAGTATATTCAAAATTAAATACAAAGAGGAAAGTTAAAATAACAGATCTCGATAAGAGTTAAGCCAATGAAATTATGCTGAAAAAGAATTCAAATTTGAATGGAAATGAAATGTGAACAGATGTTAACATGTAAGCTACAATGTTGTTTCAAATTTTATGATTTTTACACGGTGTTATTGCATTAATTTTAAATTAAACTCTTATCAGTACAGTAAGAGAAAATAAGCAAATTCATGGCTAATCATACTAATCAGTAATTTATGAATATTAACCAATATAATGCCCAAAGCTATCATAAATCACTAATGGTAACATATTTTTATAAAAATATAAGTGATTGAGTTATGAAGTTTAGCAAGATTGTAACATTAATTTCTTAATGTTTGCAATTTACCATAGTTTCATATCTTTGATTTAATGTCACTATTCAAGAACTTATTTGGATTTGTCTCCTGCAGACAGGAAGTACAGTTCACACCAATCTAGGGATTCTAGCTTGTTTGAGAATTTTCCATTTTAACTTTACGTGTTTTTTCCTTTTTCAATTTTGAAAATATTTAGAAAGTGAAGTTGTATTTCACTTATCAGCATTGGTAAAGGATGAGATGATGATTATAAAAACGTTTTTTAAAATCATTCATTGTACTCTAATATATCTTTTAGTAATCCTTTGATTTTCAACTGATGAAATAGAACACATATACACAAAGGATTTAGTTAAGCACTTGTTACATAAAGGACATTGGTCGGGATTTCTACAATTACATGAGTTTTCTATGGTTCAAATTAAGAACATTAGCATTATGGTTGTTTATAAATTCAATATCTTGTGATTCCCCCAATTATTAGAACTGTAGCTAAGTTTTAGTTTATCGATTGAAAATTTTATTTAAACATTTTCCCCAAAATAATCTTTATCAATTTAAGTTTGTCCCAATTCAGCATCAACTAATTGATTAAACAGGAGTATACCGTATAATTTTCATATGGTATACTCTTCAGCATAATTTTATTGACTTAACTTGTATCAACATCTTATGTTATTTTAACTTTCCTCTTCCTTTGTAATTTTGAATATAAACTTTCTCTTGCCCTTTTCTATTTTCTTGGGAGTAGGGTTAATTTCTTATGCGTTTTTTTTTTAATTTTTTCTATGGAAAATTTTCCAAAAAATGAAATGTTTCATAAATTAATTTTAAATAAAATTGTTTATTACCATAATTGTTAACTACCTAATGTTTATTAGACATTAAGAAAAAAAAAAAAAACTACAATTTTGTAGTACCTTAATTATTCTAATGTAACACTAAATGATAAATATTTATTTCTCTACTCTTGTAATGAGCCCTGTTTTGAATGTTGGAATTTTATTCCTCATTCTTTTCTATTTGGAGATAGATGAGCTCTAGAGGAGTATTGTTTGATTTGAAATACCTTTGTTCTCTATATTGTATAGTTATCGCTTTGAATGTTACAAGAGAAATTTATTCGATGATTTAACTTCCATTAATGAAAATAAGTACATTATGTTAAATGTAATGGAATCCAAAGTAACTTAACATTTTAGTTAAATCATTAACTTAACTTTGCTCTACCTAAATATACTAGACTTTTTAAAACTCTTGATAGCTGTAGAAAAATACTGTAGATTTAAAACTAGATTAAAACAATTCTAATTTGTTGAAATTAACCCAGACTCTTCAAAAAAAAATTTTTTTTTTTTTTTTTGTCACTTGTGTGGTGCCTACTGAGATGAATGAATTTCAGTTTAAAAAGCTGAACTACAAGCATTGACTTTTCTCTATGCATTAGAAAAGATTGTTCAGCAAGATAAACCAAGTAGGTTTACTGTAGGTATATAATTGTAAAAGTGTAAAGAACAATTGGATGATGCTAAAGGGTTTCTAGACATCTTTGGGTGAGAAACAATTTTTCTCCCATCTATACTAACATGGAGAGAAATAACATTTGTAAACAGCTTTCCAATATTTTGTGTAAGTCTAAATTTGTCTTTCTAGCAAAACATAATGCATGAAAGTTTTACATCCACTTCTCTAGACTGAAGTTCAAATGATATCAGAATATTGCTAGAGGCTGAGAAAATTGAAGTGGCATATATTAACCTTATAGGAAAATGTCAGGTTAGAATAAAT